GGACACTCCACCCCCACAACTCCCAATCGGTGATGGGGCAGTTGTGGAGAGAGTGGAGAGTTTCCCATACCTGGGCAGTGTGCTTATGACTGGCACCAGTTTAACCGCAGAGGTCTCACTCCGAATCAGTCGAGCGGCAATATCTTTTCATCGGTTGCGTAACGCTGTGTGGAAGCTACCTGGTCTGTCGCTCCGCACTAAGCTTCAGGTCTTCTCGGCCACGGTCATTCTCTCCCTTCTCTACGCTTGCGAAACGTGGACCCCCCTAATGGAACATCTTCGCCGGTTAGAAACATTTAGGCTGGCCTGCCTACGATCCATCCTGGGTTTAACCAGACTGGATTGTGTGAGGAGCTCACAAATCCTTGAAAGATCTGGGCAGGGTCCCATCGGTGAGCTCCTCCGGCAGGCAAGGCTGCGATGGCTGGGTCATGTAGCCCGCATGCCCAGCCACCGCATGCCGAAACAGCTTTTGTTTGGCCGGATTGAGGGGGCTAAGCGGGCGCGGCACGGGCTAGAGAAGAGATGGAGTGATGTGGTACAGGAGGACGTGGAGCTGAGTGGACTTGCCGATGACTGGTACCAGCGGTGTCAAGATCGGCCTCTGTGGAGGAGGCTCGTGAAGGATGCTACTGGGCAGTTGGAGGCAGTCGCCCTCCAACAACAACGGAGGGCGGAGGAGCGACGCTCACAACAGCGAGCGGAGCGCCGGGTGGCTAAAGCACAGCAGGTTGGCACAGTAGGGGGCACAGGTGGTGCATCAGCCAGTCATCTCAGTCAGTCGACCCGTGGCACCTGGGTCTGCCCCGTGACCTCCTGCCAGCGGGCGTTCGACACTTCACGTGGCCTCAGGGTGCACATAGCCTGGCACAAGCGTCGTGGTGACGTCACCGCCACTTAGTGGCGAATGGCGGTTGTTGTTGTTGCTATGTGTGTGTGTCTCTGTGTATCTCTCTGTGTGTCTCTGTGTTATCTCTCTCTCTGCTTATGTGTCTCCGTGTCTGTTTTGTCTCTCAAATGTAGCGATCTTTGTAAGAACGTAATAAACCAGGTGGGGTGTTGACTGTTATGTTAGCCGACTCTGTGTTGTATTGCATTATATTTCTAAGTTTTACTTGTTTTCATATTCTTGGTTCTTTCGGTAAAGTCACGTGGAAGGGAAACAATAAAATAATAATGCAATACAATTCTCACGACGTTTCAACTGCAACACAACCACACCTGATGATGATTGCTTGTCACACCTGATGATGATTGCTTGTGTTGCGATCGAAACGAAACGTATGCTATCATTGAATTTGTTTCTTTCTACGTGACTTTACCGAAAGAACCATAGGAGTGAATCCCTGCAGTCACGAAAGCTCCACATCAAGTTTCATCAACTATCTTAACGTTACCAAGTAAGGGCCACAGCTGAAACGAAACGGCGGAGCCCGGAGCAGCGAGACCCGTGGCTACTCGGGGCGAGCCGACGGCATCGTGGAGAGTGGAGAACTCCCGTGGGAATCGGATTCCCGTGTTTAAAACTACTCGACTATCTTTCTTAACGTTGCTTTGAAGCTTTCGTGGCTGCAGGAATCCATCGATATACTCTTTGGTTCTTTCGGTAAAGTCACGTGGGTATAAAATAAATTGCGACGTTTCGGGGCGTGACCTTACCGAAAGAACCAAATAGTACTTTTCTAGATTTGAAGCTTTCGTGACTGCAAGGATCCATACTCTTTGGTTCTATTCGGTAAAGTCACGTAGGTAAAAAATAAAATAACAAAAAACACGACGTTTCGGCCACAACACAAGTGGCCTTCATCAGGTGAAGGGACCGTGCTGTCATGAGGACAGCGTTGGAGTGGACAGCACGGTCCCTTCACCTGATGAAGGCCACTTGTGTTGTGGCCGAAACGTCGTGATTTGTTATTTTATTTTTTACCTACGTGACTTTACCGACTAGAACCAAAGAGTAAGAACCAAATAGTATCTTCTTAACCTTAGCAAGTAAGGGCCACCGAGCTATTTAGCTCTCTTTCAGAAGCAAACAGCTGAAATGAGTGGCGTTTTACCTAATTATAAACCGGATTGGACTTTGATGATTGTTGGGCATTTTAACGATGCAGCCCCATGAGCAGGGGAATCAAATATTTCGCCTTTCTTGGAGCGATTGCGATCAAAACCCGCGCCCTCTCTGCGGCAAACATTAATTGGGTTTCGAGACTTGCAGGAGCTGCGGTTGGATCTTGTAAAGTACTGCCATGTTTATTTTGGAGAAACCCAGAGTATCTGGAAAGGTGTAAAAACAGTCAAATGTCCAAATAGATTGGGTCCGCCAAACCCACCTGTTGTATTTCCATCTGGAGAGTGGCGTTTGATAATTTTGCTATCTGCGTGATCCGTCAATCCTCGCATGCAAAGCGCCAATTCACAATCGTGCACCGTCACAGGTGGATTAGTACGTAAAGTACTGCGTGTACACTCATAAGCGTCTGCTCAGTAATAATCTGGGCGTGTGTCAATATCGTCGCCTCCCGTAGTTGTTGGCCGTTTGGGAAAATACGTTCCAAAGTGAGCAGTCCGCAAAAGGAGAAATCGCCAGTGTCCCGTGCCAACGCCGCCTCAGGATGTCGAAAGCGACAAAACGCAAGCACGTGGTGAAAGAGGTGCTGGAGGAATTCGCAGCGCCCACGCGGCAGCAGCAGATCGTCAAGGTATGCGTTTCGAACTTATTTCGCACCGTGCGTAGTAGCCGTGTCAATCGTAGCGCGAAGGGACAAACAAACTAAACGGACCTGTCCAGACAATTCCCTGTAATTTGTTTGCCAAGCTTAAGGTTTAAACTCGAGAGAGACGATGATGCAGTGGTATTATTTTGCAGTAGTGATCTGGGTGCCATGGGAAAAAGCTTAGTTTACTGGATCGTTCGAGATTTTCGAAATGTATGGCTGTAACATGTTTTTAAATTCCCCATTGGCATGAAAAGCCGAGTAAAAGACATTGTTCAGGAAGGTCTTGCATTGAATATTTAACTTTGTGGGAGGACACCCATGCATAAAAGAGAGTAACACTCAGCATGCCATACAGATGCAACAATGCATTGCTCCACACTCGGCTGGCTGGAAGACCAAGCCGACATCACTTGGTATTCACAGGCAGATTCTAATCCCAAAACTAAATCAGGCGTAACCCTTTTTAGATTCCAAGACTTTACAAATGTGCAGTTGTGTTCTAGATACAGTATTGAAATGCTTAAATTGACGGGTTTTTTTGTATTATGCATAAACCCGTGAAGGTGATAATTTAATGTTTAACTCGGTACTGTGATATTTGACTAGCTTTTGTTTGAATACAGAGTTTAGTGAGCTGTTGATTTGTGTGCCTCAGGTGTTGGGCACACCTGGCAATAATCTGCACGAGGTTGAGACAGCTGTCGGAGAACACTTCCTCGTCACAATGCCCACCAAGTACCGCAAGAACATCTGGATTAAAAGAGGTGCGATATTGTGCAACTTCAATGCAGCTACACGTAAAATACGTTGAATAAGCTTGAGTTAATATTGTTTACGATGGAAAAGTGAAATCGATTTCCTGCTCAAAATGTGCGGAGGTGGTGTTCACCATCGCTGTGCCAGTGGTGGATATTTCATTGCTAGGGAAGGGGGGTGAGTATCCATCGAAATAAACAGGACTTCAATCTGAATTTGAACTCACAACCTTCCGCTTGCAAGACAGCCGTTAACTCCACCGCAGAGCCACTTAGTCGGTTAAACTGAATAAAGGACTAAACAAAAATTAGGCTGTGAATCGATTTAATGATTGAATGCCTCTAATAGTTATATCCTGCTCATGAACAAGTTTGATTTTATATGCAATCTGCTGCTGTTGATTTACATGATTGTCACATTTTCTAATGTGTCTACAGGAGATTTTGTGATGGTAGAGCCCATTGAAGAAGGAGACAAAGTCAAGGCAGAAATTGTGTCCATCTTGAACAGAGACCACATCAGATACCTCAAGAAGGAGGGCGTTTGGTAAGAACATGTGAATGTGCCATGTTGGTTGCTGTTACATATAGGACTCCCACTTGTCATTTGAATTTCAGTAATTGGGTTTGTTTCTCTCTTCTGTAGGCCTGTCAAGTTCAATGAGGATACAAGCGTAGAAGCTTCCAGCAGGACATTTCTGTAAGTACTTTTGTTTAGTTTAAGTTTTGTTCCTTAAAACCTCTATCCATTAATTTCACTTGATATGTTCTGCATTGGCATGCTTGCCTATTTCCATGTTATAGTAAACAGATTTTTTTTTGGCATGACATGACAAGAAGTTCTCTTTTGTGCTTCCGTGTAGCGAGCCAAAACTGGACAGCGAAGAAACTACCTGTGCAGCGAATGATGAAGAGGTTTCTGATGAAGATGACAGTGGAGATGATGACCTGTTTGTAAACACAAATCATGTGAACTCCGAGTACACTGCTAGTACTGATGACGAGGATGACAGTGAGAATAGTGATGTTGACAATGATGTAAACATGTCAAATGCTGAGAAAAATTCCCAGCAGGCAGAGAGTGAAGAGGAGCCAGAACAATGATGCTATCAAGTGAGATTCTTCATGTAAGCTAAGTTTAGCTTGCAATGTGGAAGTTTTTTCCAACCTTAATTAAAAACAGCATTGTTTCACATTCTGTAAGTTTTATACTGTAGATGGTTCACATTCGGTAGGGCAGGCATCTTACCAAAGTGGAAATACCGTTAAAAGCTGCATAAAAGTTCATTAAAAGTTTGGCTTTGGGATTTTTGATTTATACCCCACAACTGTTCAGTTAGTGATTTGAGTTTCATTTCCTTAAGGTTTGTGAACAATAATAAAACTTTACATTTATACCATATGCTTGTCTTCATTTCAAATTCAATTCATGTTTCTAGGGTGGGAAATATCCTTAGCATTTCTTGTTTTGGACCCTAATGGTGCATGTACATGGAGATGACCACCTCAAATGATCTTTAGACATTAATATTGTACAATTATAAACTTTATTTTCCAGCATTTATTTCCATGTACCATCGCAATTCTACTTTTTAAACAGTATGGACTGCTACACATTCACTCCTGTTAAAATACACGTGTGAGCCTATACAGCCCTAATTAAGCACCTTTGTTGAATGCTGGTGGAAGTTACCAAGGTTATTGAAGCAGTCACTGGATATCCATTTGCAGAGATTCCATGAAAACTTAACCAATTGTCAATAATTCTTTCCACTACCACTGACATGAGCAATTGTACCTTGAGTGAACACCCCATCCCTACTGTTTTTGGTACAGGATGCATCTCCAGGTTGAAAAAAATAACGTTTATGTAAATGAAGTTAATCCAGTCACCAATTGGTCTGCAGTTTCTTGGAGTTACTTTAAGATGCAGTGTGTACAGCTATTAAATAGCAAATGGATTTAACTTGTGATGAGCCATGTGGAAATTCAGGCTGAAGCAAACCAAAAAACAATGCACTATGGGAAACAATACACGTAGCACTTTGTGATATTATTGCCAATTACGAACCATGACCTGAGATGGAATTCAAATGTAAACTTTGTACTTGCATGTGTAAATGGTGTTAAAATGTTACCATTTTGCAGATTTCATTTCTGTAGAAATAATGTACTTTATCATATTTTTGTATAAAGTGCTCGCATTTATCATGATAGAAAAAAGTAAAACGAACCCATGTACTTTTCAATTTAATGCATAGTAGTGTAACAAATGCAGGTTAATGTGCATCACTAAGCACACTACCCTGGCCAACGGAAAACAAATACCCACATGTACCAACTCCTTAACTGGGAAGCATATGGGGGGGGGAGGGGAGAATCATGAACCTTGAATTTAAAACAAACCATGTGGCAATTTTAAATATGGCATGGAGTACATTAAGTCACGATGTGGTTACCATGACGACATTTGTAAATACTTGCATTTTCTTTATGGTTACGATTTTGTTAATTTCATGGTTTAAAACAAGGTGTTCATTGACTGTGCGAGCCATCGCATGCACATTTAGCAAGCATAACTTTGCAAGCTAAACAAAATTCCTTAAATGTTACCTCAAATCAGCTGTTGCAATTAAAGCTCAAGGGCCACGGTTACATTAATGCAGTATAATTAAACATTTGCATCCCATTACTGCATCCTATAAGAATCGTATTACATTCAAAACAAAAAAAGCAACACTCAAAACAGGCACACAACGTTAGCTCATTTGATCTTAACGCGTCGGGAGATTTAAGACTCGGGAGTTGGCGAAGTGGACGGCTCTGCACAATCTTAAACGTCGGCCGATGCGGATGCACGCCACTGCCCTCCCGTGCTCGTACCACCGTTGAGTGTCGCGAGATTGTCCGAAACGCCGATGCTGGAAACGCTCACCATGGGAGGACCCACTAGGGGCTGAGAGACGAGTGTTGCGTTTGACAGGGTCGGTGCAGGAGGTGGATCCCAGTCTTCCCAGCGCCGGTGGAAGTAGATGGCGGGCGTGCTTGTGCAGCTGAAGCCGTTTGCCTCCAGGCGCAAGCGACGACGGCGCCTCCTCCCCCTCACCGCGACGCTACTCGCGGCCACCCCCACGAGCACCAGCAGCACGAGGATGCAGGCAGCAGAGCCCAGCGCCATGGCCAGCGGGGAAACCAGAGCCGCCACCTCTGGTGCCTCTGTGGGGGGCAGGGGCCGTCGTGGTGGCAGCACCCGTGGCCTTGACTTTAATTACAGACGCGTCGGTAACACCACGTGGTTTGTATTTGTTTTTAAATGGAGCCTTTTGAAATGACAACCCAGTGAGATTCATCTAGAAGGAAATGGAAGTGGGCTTTGCTAACAATGTTGGCTTTGCAGTCTCACTCCACGGGAGGCAAAGTGCTTGGTTCACCGATGATGGAAACCATATTTAAGTGTTGAGAATGACATTTAAAGCATATTTAGAACCCAAGGATGACTTTAGGTTCTCAATTGTATGGTTGAAATGTTATCTAGTTAAAACGTATAGACTCAACTTAGTGTCCTAGAAAACTTAAATTCTGCATACACAAATCGAATGAACATCAGTTCTGATAATGGATACATTTTATGCAAGGGAGAAATGAGTAAATTATTCTTAGGAATAGGTTATTTATATTTAAACACTGAAATGGGTCCTATGATGTGCAAGTATAACACATTACATAAAATCCGTGATCTGGTTGCATCTGTAAAAGATGTGATTCTGGATATACAGTACCCTGGTGTCTACAAACGAAATTGCCTCTGTGGTAGTAGTTACAGTGGAGAAACCAAACGCCATGTCTCGGACCGCATTCGTGAACACAAAGCAGACCTTAAACACGGTAGGACCAACACCTCGGCCGAGGCAGATCATTGTTCTAATTCAGTAGGCTCACATGACATTGACTTCTCTAAGACAGAGGTTATTTGTAAGCCATCTGGCTACCATGAGAGAGTCGTTCATGAGGCTATCCGCATATACAAGCACAGAGACAATTTCAACCGAGAAGATGGATTCTGGCTTGGCAATCATTGTAAGGATTTGATAAACCATTTCAGGTCTTAATTGATTGTTCACGCTTACAGTGGCTTTCAGACAGCATACATTAATTTTTCGTCTCCCCCCTCCTCTTTTTAGAACATAGATGGACTCGTCCTTCTAAATAAACTGCCAAATCCCTGCCCGTGGTGCTAACGTTCTTTTAAAATAAAAACACCGTTTAAAAATAAATAAATGCAAACCGCCACTTCTTTCAAAAGGTTCTTGCCGTTGCTTTTCACACCTGATGATGACCGTTTGTGTTATGGTCGAAACGTCGTGAGAATTTTTATTACATATATTTTATAATTTTATTGTTTCCCTTCAACGTGACTTTACCGAAAGAGCCAAGAATAAGTATAACAGTTGTTTGTGCGCCAGCATAAGGGAACTTGCCTTGAGCGAGAACGCTTTGGCACTGGGTTCCTTTCCACACGGGGTCGAGGTTGATGTAGTTTTCATTACAGAAGCAGACGTAGGAGCCCACCATGTTGTGGCAGAATGCGTTTGCGTCACACATGTCCTCTCCCACGTCACACTCGTCCACATCTGAAATTGATGACGGACAAGTTGGATACAAGCTTGCTCACGCGAGCACACCGAGCCAACAAGGGTTCATCCGTGCGCTCCCGAAGACGAGGAGCGCCGATGCATTAGCGAGCGTGCTCACACCCACGCTCAAGCTTGCACATGGGAACTCTGGGAACTGTACACATAAGGCAAAACCAATCGCTTTTAATAATCTGAAAGGGGAGAAGATTTAATAAAGTGTCAATCCAATGCGAATAAGCATCAGCCACTGAAATCATTATTGGATGTAGGGCTGTTCAAGCCATCACCATCTCTCATGGCACTGTGGGTGCAACAATCTCATGCAGTAAATAGCCTCACTCTACGTCCACAGTAGTCAACCCTCAATACATCACGGCCGAGTTATAAAGTGCTCTTCATGCAGACCTTTCGCAATAAATAAAACCATTTATCAATCCAGATTTTAAAAAAACCCAAATAAATGGGTTCATTCAATAATTTGCCTGCATCTTGCACAAAATCTAACAGCAAAAATATTTACTCTTGCACAATGTTGCGTGCATGTTTTTGCTTGGCAGTGCATGGCCACTGTAGCTTGTGCGGCATGTGGGCGGTGGGCAGTACCGGTCACATCGATGGAGAGGAGCTGGAGCCTCAGGGCCCCGTCCACGGACTCCACGTGCTGGCCGGGCAGATTGCGCAACGAGCGCTGCAGCTGGCGTGCGCTGGCGCGGGGCAGGTGCCGGAAAAAGGCGTGGAGCTTTGCTTGCACCTGCAGGCCCTGCGCCACCCTGCACGCGGGAAATTCACAGCGACGACAATCGCATCTTCACAGCTGGAGAGCTAGGCGAGATGGCTCAACTACACAAAACCTATTTCATCAGAACATGTCAACAAAATGTAGATAAGGGATAATAGTGGGCATCACATTTAACCCTTGCTAGACCAGGGTGGAGCAGAAGTAGAGTCGTTAGTGCTATAAAACCAGCAACCCGAATTGTTTTCCTGGCCATGGGAAATATATCAGTGGCTAATGATATCTGAAGCAGTTCTGGGTAGTCTTTACAAACCAGCATGCGCCAGTGTGGGTAAATATTCAACCACCCATCCACCCGCTATGATCGACACAGCATAGGAAAGTCTTCATCTAGCAGTGGAGTGAAAAGGCTGTATAGAAACCATTACCAGCCTGCTTGTCTTGGCAGAACACTCAGGAAATTACTTGCATAATAATCACTCGCGTTTTTCTCCATCTGCAATGGGGGGAGCACAAGATAATTTAACAAAACGCACGGTCCAACATCGACCAAATTAAGAGCAGCAGTCTATGACTTGGGCGATACGCGTTAGTTTTGGTCATTTCGTGTTGGCAAAGTAAATTCCGCAGTACAGAGAACCTTTCCCCTCGTAGATTTAGCGCCAAATTTTACCGAGGAAGAGTTCGCCGTTTTGCACCCGTGGCTCAACCACCCCATTTACCACGAGATTCCTGCATGCATCGCAACTATACTGCTCACGTTGGTGCTGCCACCATAGAAAAGACAACGCGGTGCCGTCTCCTAAGCATCCAATCGTGGGTCTTAGGTCACGTGGCTCCCAGCCTTCGGTGAGGCAGCTGTGTTCAGCCGCAACGATATCTGCATTAATCGTTTTCATTCTATACATTTGCCATACAGGTTTACATTTAAAACTAGAAAATAATAATATTTTGCATTCAAAATACTTCATGTTCAGTATTCGGGTTGAACCAAATCCTAGTTTTTCCTATTTGCTTTTGTCTTTGCGGATCGCGGATCTGCCAATTGAAGCTACTTTCAAGAACGTAACCCCCCCAATGGGCAAGGGTTTGCTGTAGCCAATTTAAAAAGTGATTCGACACTGCAGGACATCCATGCGAAGTAAAGAGACAAGAGATCTTCATAGGGTTCAGCAGCTACAATATCCTCACCAGCTGGGAGAGGTGTGAAGAGAGGAGCCTCACAATGCGGCCAAAAACAAGCCCTTCCCTTGCCTTCTTTTGAAGCATGGAATCCACGGACATCTCAAACCAGGTGTACTCTGAAGTACAAAGACAAAGATCCCCCGTATAGCCTTAGCAAACTGTTGAGGAAATTGCTGTTAGCAAACATCTATGAAGGCCGGCACGGCACACGAGAGGGGGTGGGTGGCCAGCACCACACCCAGCCGCCATTGTCTCCCCAGTGGCAATGTTTACATACCACACTAGGTACTGATTTAAGGCCGAGTCAACCTAGGAGAGGTCCAGGACCGGCACAGATAATCAACACCTGGTGTTGGCTGTAAGCAGGAATCGAACTCTGGTTGCTGGGTTGATAGCGCAGCATGCTAACCGCTACACTACATCCACACAGCCATTCACCACACCATGGAGCACCACACGCTCCTGTGCAACCATCATGATCCAATTTCACCAAGTTGACAAGGTGCCCATCGCTCCCTCTGGGATCTTACTGTGTCAGTGAGACTCATAATTTAAGGCAAGGATACAAATGTGAAATAAGCCACACAGTTACATGCTGGTCGGCATAGGCAGTGGGTGAGGAGGGCTAATAAAATGCAGTCCTCTCTCAAATCGAATGTTTGAATGTAAGCCAGTCAATCTATATGGGAAAATCTCTTGAAGCCAGACCGATGAGCAAGTTCAAAAGGTCACAAGCAGAGGCTGCAACTCCTTGGCCGCGTCATACTATCACATGCTTTGGTAGTGGTAACCTTGGCACTCTTGTTTTTGGACACGAATTCTGTACAGATAATTACAAGTTAAAACATTTAATAAAAAAATAGATTTTACCCCCCCCCCCCCCCCCAATTTTTTTCCCCACCAACCCCCAGAATAATATATATTTTATACACGCCCTCTATACTGATTGGCATGTATAAGAGGTGGCTAACCCAAGCCTTGTCTCAACTCACCTCGCGGTCTGAAAGGTCCTGTGCCGATGTCCAGTGACTGGGGTTTGTCCTCATTTTTTGCAGTGGGAAATGGCCCTAAAGCAAATAATTGCATACAAAAAGACACCACCACTCAGTATATTTACATATGAATTCAAGTCTTTTAACAGCAACAAAAACATAAACATCACTTCATACAATGTTTCTCACGAAGATAAGAAACTAGTTTGAAGGTGAGACAATTCTGATGTGACATAAGTAGCCCCCTCAATCATGCAAAACCAGGTGGAATTTGCAGGAACGTGTTTTCTTGATGTTATTCAACATGAGACAATGGCACGAAAGAATAGCAATCCATATTATTATACATTTAGTACCCACAGAAAATGATTCAACAACTATTTATAACTCCCCCCCCCCCCATAACCAAATATATTGGAAGGCTTTCATCCAGTAGGGGTGAAAACGGGGAATTCATGATAAAATTATGATAGTTAAGAACAGCAAGCCCATCAAGATTGACTTCCTAAACTGGTCACTTTGACCTGCACATACAGTATGTTGAATGCATCCTATACATCGGTGTTCTTCATCACACAAATGTGAAAACATCCCATCGTGCTGTGAAACCCAACGGTTTATAATGCGTGGTGGCCCTCATACGGATGTCTTTCCGGCGAAAGTGGCTGCTCCTATGAAAATTAGTTAAGAACACTGCTGTAAATAAACTCAAAAACTCACCATCGGATGAACTCGTCCCGTTTGCAGTAACAGTGCTTGAAGAAATTCCCACGCTTTCTGTTGGCATAAAGTCTCTAATGACCGGCTTTGGTGACGAAACATCAGATTTGTCGGCAGGGAACAATTGGGCGCTGTACATCAGTGGGGAGCGAGAGGCAGCCTCGGGTAGGATGCTCAAGCGGTTTGAAGCAACCGATGCATCCGAAATTGTTCTCTCTGCTGTGGCAGATGTGGTCACTGTAGTGGAATGGATTCGAGATTGCGTGGTGGCAACTATGCGAGCCTGCGCAGTCACGGAAGGTTTTGTTGATACGTTAAACGTTCCTGCGAGGGGAAAACTGTACCACCTTGTACGTGATGCCTGCAAATACCTACCTTTATGTATACGTGTGACATGCGTGCTAAAAATGGATTTCTTTTTAATAGCGTTGTGCGAGAGTTCACGTAGAGAAGCCTCGACAGGAAACGCAAGTAACGGCTGAGATTTTATCAAAGATGCCACTGCAGAAGCCCTTGTCATTTGTTTGCCCGAAGCCACGCGTCGTTTTGTCCCCTTGACCAGTTCACTCATTTTCCCAAGTAATGAAGTGCGTGTCGATGACTGTGAAAGATTGTCAAACACCTGTGCAGTTCCTCTAGACTCACTCCGAATAGCTGTGCGAGAAGGTGGATATCCGTCCACGCTCACCCCGTGGTAATCTGTTGGGAGAATCTGGGTACTACTGCCTGACAGAGCCGGTGTTGAAACTTTGTTCAACTGCAGAAAATGTTGGGACATCACTTTAGATTGGACAAACGAAGGCTCTATCTCAAACGCAAGTCCCAAAGAACCATTGGTATTGGAAGTTACATCATCCTCAAGGACCTTGTCAGAAAAGGCATTTGGAAAATTATGTACACGTCTCTCCGATTTTTCAGAATTTGTAACCATTGTTACTGAAGTGGGTGAAATTAAATGTATTTGTAAGACTGACGCAAGTGTGTTTTTTGTTAAAAATGATGGGGTTTGTTGAATAACATTGGGAGGCCTCAGTAATTTGTTTTGGAGCATTGGTTTTAAAAAGCCTGGTGTGTGAGCATTTGCATCTGCCACTGGTGTTTCATTAACAGCTTCTGCAGCCCTCAAATTAACACCCGATGATTTAGGTGACAGGAATTCAACATGATTATGTGTTTGGTGGAATTTTACACTCGGATCTCTAACAGTCACAGACATAGACAAACGAGTTTGATTTTTGAAAACTGGCAATGCAGTAATGTGCTTGGGTACTTCTACATCGGATATATACGGAACATTTTTCTCAAGTAAAATAGCAGAGGTGGCGTCATCAACTTTGGAGCCCAGTGGAACTAAACGTTGCTCAAACTCAATTTCCAAAGCCGTTTTGTGACGCGTCTCATTTGCCAGCTCGAATGGAGAATAACGAACATCATGATATGGAATGTCTTGTTGGATGCCTTCTTCAGTGCCACGGTCTTCATTAACTTCCAAATCCCATTCATTTGTTAGGGAATTAATGTCAAGGGGAGTCTGATTAACAAAGTCTTCCATTTCAGAACTTAGTAACACCATCCTGTCACTGTCTGCATCGGAAGCAGGTTGTTGAATTACGTTTATCAATGTTGAGTTATCACCAGACTCCCCGCAGTTCAGCCTGCTCAAGTCCAGTGTGTCCCACTCGTCTAAAACAAAGTACTCTCCCCAGAAGCGACGTGGAGCAGCAGACTTGAGCGCCTGGCGGTCGCCACTCACGAGCAGTACGCTTAGCCCAGAGCCCTTGGGGGTGTAGTAGTACGTGTCGTGGCCCCAGCATGACAGCACCATGGCCATGATGTTTCGTCGAGGAGACTCCTCAAAGATCAGCCGGTCGCTGTGCAGGCAACACTCGTCTCCTCCAGTGAAGCCGCAGATTTTCAGCACGATGCTCTGAGTCTCCCTGACCTGGAGGTTCCAGCTGCACCACACCAGCTCTGGGTAGCTGTCTGGGAAGTTGGGCGAATAGAAACGCCCGGACTTGCCTTGCAACTCAAACTGACAGCTCTCGAGGGGATAAGCCATCCGAGGAACCGCATACTGGGGTGCTGCAAAACAGTGGATAACTTGTCGGTTACCAATCACCCCGAACATGTGACAAACTTTATACCATCAAATTAATTGTAATATAGGCGAGGCCTATGATCATATTTTAAGATCTCCAATGAATGCAATACAGCCCTTTATGTGATTTTACCTGGTTATAAAATAAAAGGTTATGAATGTAATTGTATATTGATATGGATTGGCATAGGTTACACAAATTAAACTTACACACAGTCACTCAAAGCTGGCGAGTAATTCACAGCTTAAAAGATATATCGGTTTCAAACTCCAGCACGGACAGGGCGAGACACTTTCTCAGCATTTACTACCTGGGCCATTGCAGAAATTGGTACCACTTGAAGAAGCAAAATATGGCAAACAAAATTTTATTTATTTATTTTACCAGGTAATACTCACCGAGCTATATAGATCTTTTCAGAAGCGACCTGGCCACAACATCATAGATAGCTCAACGAAGTGGCTCATCCTATTGTAAATTTACAGCAGAAAAATCCTACGTGACCCCAGGGAAAACATGCAAACTCCAAATATACAGGTGTCAAGGTCGGGATCGAAGCCACGATATCCTGTATACCAGGCGAGGTAGTTAACATCTCACCACCATCTCGAGTAAGAAAAAAATATGATAACCCACTCATTTCAAATGGTTCTCACAATTCAATGTTATTGACCACAGATAAATTGGAACTTCTTCTTTGGTTCTTTCGGTAAAGTCACGTAGAATGAGAATAAAATAATAAATTGATAAAATAACACAATAAAATTCTCACGACGTTTCGGCCACAAAACAAGCGGCCTTCATCAGGTGAAAGGACGAGACTGTCTGGAGGACAGTCTCGTCCCTTCACCTGATTAAGGCCACTTGTGTTGTGGCCTGGAGGACAGTCTCGTCCCTTCACCTGATGAAGGCCGCTTGTGTTGTGGCCGAAACGTCGTGAGAATTTTATTGTGTTATTTTATCTTATCAATTGATTATTTTATTCTCATTCTACGTGACTTTACCGAAAGAACCAAAGAAGATGAATCCTTGCAGTCACGAAAGCTTTAAATCGAAATTGGAACTTCTCAAGTTCTGCCACCGCAGATCGTACCGGCAAGGAAAAAATCTGCTCTGGGATGACAAACTAATTACCGCAATGCCGGCGAGGCTGCGACGTAGCCTCCCTGACTGCGCGACCGTCAGGAGGAGGATGAGGTCGGTGTCCCTTCTGCCTCGAGTAGCTCAGACGCAGGGACCGCGTGCGCAGCCGCAGGCGCAGGGGTGAGGGCAGCCAGTGCTGCAGGTACGAGTGCACGAGCTCGCCCAGGAGGTGCCGCCCGTCCTCGTCATCATCCGCCACCAGGCGGAACACGGGGTATCCTCCGCCCAGGTGCACGATGCGCTCTGCCAGCGACGGAGCAGGCCTCATAGCCGACCGCTCGCCGATCACAGCCTGGTTTCCATCCGCTGGAATGCCGTGAGGAGGCATCGGCGGAAACTTTCCGCTGGCTCCATTATCGCAGCCAGCCTCCAGCCACTCCTGGATGTAGTGGTCACCGGCGGCGGCATCAGCCCTGGCGCTAGGCACGGCGAGGTAGCGCACCTTCGCGTAGCTGTGCAGCGCGTGGAAGCTGTGCACCGGGGGAATCGATTCGGGGACGAATGCCACGTGGAGACGGTTGGTGGGCATCGCGAAGAGCGCACTGGAGCAGCGGTGGGCACACAGCTCCAAGGCCACACGTCCGCCCAGCTCTCCCCACCGCCCACCAGGGCCAGCCGTCCTCCCGAGCCTGTCGCCGGCCTCGCCGGATTCATCCGTGCCGGCCATCGGGGTGAGCACCACGAAGGAGTTGTGCTCGGCCGTGCAGCTGCCGTCGCTCGGGCAGCCCAGGCACACGTGGACGAGCAGGCAGTAGTCGGTCGGCACGGTGAGAGTGCACTCTGACCACAGTCCGGCACTGGCCTCGCTGCTCCTGGCGTAGAGCAGGCAGAAGGGCTCTAGCACTCCCTCAAAACCGTCGACCTTGCGCTGGCAAGGAGTCTGTGGCATCGCCAGAGGATCCAGCCCTGCAAGGTGGAAGGAAGGGGGGTGGGTGGGGGGGGGACTCATATCAGCATCTTTGGTCCAGCCATCGCTTACAAAAGTTAGTCATGCACAATCGATAATCTCGTGCTTTTTTCAACCAAGGGAATGTTTGTCACGGGAATTTATATTGATATTGACGGTCAAGTCGTGAGAAAAATAAGTATTGGCAAAGTCACGATACGACTCCATGGTGCTTTGTTCAAATTCACAATTTCCCTGACCAGCGTGAGCTCCGAGCCACCGTCATAGCTTTTGACACGAGCCTATTATATATTAAAATAAGCACTGCAGATCCTCTTTGTGTTCAGCGATGTGTGCACGAGTGTGAATATATTATTTTCTTCCCACATTTCCGCTACGGGAAAGAGAAGGGGAAACACCTGGCCATGTGCCAATGTCTAAACTCAAAGGGGGCCACCAACCAACCACACATTTTTTTGAACGGTCCTTAAAATGTAGCATTCACAACGGGTTCTCACAAGCGAGACGTTGTTCAAAGTCTGCCTCCTATATGCAAGTGCACTCGTTTTAAAACGTATTATATTACGTCCGATATACACTGCACTGCATTTATGGCCATACTAGACACGGTGGTAAGTTTTCAAACTTGTAAAACGACGTCCCTACATGAGCAGAAGACCCAACGCTGATGACACAGTACTGTACTACTCTACCTTGAATTGAACACGAGTCAGACTTGAGCACAATTCGACACACCAAACAATCTAACCTTTTATTTCAGCTCACCAAACCAATTCACTACCCCGTATTACAGAAACAAACGGCCTTTTCACGATGGAAGCGATGTGGTGGTGGAAGTTTTAAATTAATCGTCGTCCACGATCCAATCCACTGCTAGATGGAGGCCTTCCGAGCAGTCGTCATCGCACACAAGTTTGCAGATATAAAGATCCGCATAGCACCTGCTGCACACATTCGATTCGATCGCTCCATCTCCCGAGGGTTACGTGCTCCGAGCGGACGGGTATTGCTAAGGGAGCTTCCATGAAAACCACCGCCGAATTCCAAAAGATGATCTTCGTTCTACAACAAGAGAGCCACCATCCCGGCCCAACGTTGTGCACAACACATGACATTGAAGGATAAAGCAAGCAAACTTGGCCAACTGACCGTTCCTCTGAAGAGCCTGGCGAAGTCGGATTTCGCTGGCCGCATAATCAAACTGCAGGACAATAAAACAATTAACACCACGTCTCACCTTTGATTACAGATCCTAAACAAAGTGTATTTAAAATATTTTCTTTAAACCACTAACGGACGTGTATTATATTAATGTCCACAGTGAGAATTGATATCAATGCAGCACGTTGTGGTAGTTGAGCCGAAAGCACACATTGTGTGTTAAAGTTACTCACTGGGGGCTGGGCTGTGGGGACTTCAGTGCAGAAGCTCAGGGCCAGTCTCGGCAGGCCAAGCAGCAGTAGCAGGAGCTTCAACATCTCTCCTAACCTCCTCTCTCGACTTACAAACCTCTCCCACCTCCTCACAACCCTCTCCTACCTCCTCACGATCTCTCCCACTGCGTCTGCGACACCACGGTACAATTCTCGTGAACTCTTCACGACGTAAAGTAAAGGTGGACTCCTCTACACACTGATCAATAAACCCGCCCATCAGCAGGTGATGGGCACCCAATTCCCACTGGTGATTGCATTTCAATTAAAACACACATTATCAGGGGGTGGCCAGAGAGAAAACAGATCCAAATACAATCTCCACCCACTCCCACCTGAAGTCCATTAAGTAATTGTCATCGGTGGAACTAAATGCTACAGTAATGCAGTCATGTAATTGGCTTTCACATTGAACATATACAATCCGGACATTCAAAGAGCTTCATCTTGAGCGTATCGTCACGGCCAATTGCTGCTACAACTCTATCTATAGACACCAAAGGAAATTAACAGAATTTCATATTTTATTTTCAAAATAGGTACTAACCGCATTATCAATCTGAATGCGCTTGAAAATCACAAATTCCACAACGTTGCCATTTAAAATGGCAGTCACCATTGCACATTAATACTGTCCAATTAAGAAAGTTTTTGTTTAATATTTTGTCCAGATACAAAAAAACACGGTAGTTCGCTGGTATTAACTAGAAAGCCTTCCATAACTCACCTACGATAAAAAGCTTCTGAGACTTTGTAACATTTCAGTTTCCTTTCATGTTCAAATAAAGCAACCTTTCATGTTCCTTTGATGGTTGTAGCATTTCATGTGTGCGTATAAAACTCCCATTTATGTTTTCGTCAATAAATGGTCTTACAAAAAAATTGGCGACTTTAATAGGCGAACCCTTCACCTTCCCTTATTATAAGATATTTTCCCTATAAAAGCCAAGAGTGTTGATGCCGAATACTTTGAGTGTTTCGTCGTTTTTGCACCGCTGTCTACGCAACAAAATCAGCATTGCCAATAAGTGAAATTGCAAATGTGTGGCTGCAGATGGCGCAGTGAACGTAAAAAATTAACTAAGTTCTCAACAGAACAGACAACACACGCCAAGGACGGGAGAGCGTTTGCGTGATCGGTTAAAGGTGCAGCCCTCGCAATTTCTCGCTCACCCCGCTGCTTGACGGAAGGACCTCCACTAGAGGGACCTCCAGAGAGCCCTGTGGTAGTAGCGATGAAATATTGACTGGGAAGCAACTGACTTATGCTGAGAGTCACTTGAAGTAATTCAGTGCCACTGTTCGATGGGAACTGTGATGTCGAGAAGGCCCTCTAGAGGGCATTGACCCTACTCTTCTTCCACGCTTGCCAGACGCCAAAGAAGAAGTGAGAGGAATCTCGCACTTTTACCATTTACACTGCTGGGGGTGGAAGTCGAATCGGTTACATTTATGGGTCGCAAATCCATTGTGCGAACCATTACACCACGGCACAGCGTTCTTTGTGTGTGATAATCTACGTGCCTTTCATTTTGTTTGGTGTAAGTCATCACATCGTTAAAACGCCATGCCTAGAAGAGGCGTTATATCAACTATAATGACGGAGTGGATTCCATGAAATGGAACGCGTTCCAGAGAACGTCTGTCCTTGGAGATTGAGCGATGAAATGAGATCGATGGCAGCTGCTGGGTGGAATCATTATTGCATCGCAGGATCGTAAGATGGCAGCGACTTGAGATCACCATGCAGCAGTGGATTGCCCACGTTTATGGCCACGAAGCACAGTTACCGTAATTATTATCATGCCCCATGGTGTATAGTGCAGACTCAAACTCGTGTCCACTCTCTATGGCCTCTCTGTGCGCTCTGAATAAGAGGAATTCCCCGAAACGTCGTCTGATTTATATTTTTCCCATTCAAGGGCAGTGGTTTTGTTGTGTGTGTTGAGTTTCTTATGTGTGCTTGTGCACCTCTGCCAAAAATTGTGTCCAACTGTGAGAAAAAAAACATTTGGTGATACTCCTAGCACAAACATTTTGTACGTGCTGTGAAGGTCAATTGCCCGAAACGTCACACTACATGTTTCTCACCGTTAAGGCCAGACTATTGTCCTCTTGCGCATGGCAGCAATATGTTCATGAGCTAAATGTCGATGTCGAGGTCTGCTAGCCACGACGAGAGGGTTTGCAGGAGAGAGAAAGTTCGTGGAGTTTTGCTATTCCTCCACCGATGGAGGAGCGCAGACTAAGAGTCGTTTAGCATACGGTCCATAGTCTGTGTTGTATGGCCACGGTCTTCAATGTGTCTGTATGGGTTTGTGTACACTAAGGTGCTGTCTATCAGTCTCTATAGAGCATCTTTGAATCTCTATGCATCTTTGACTGTCAATGGGTCTACACAGTATATATATAACTCTGTCTCAGTGAATGTATATTTATATCTCCGGGTTTGCGATGTGGTCAATAGTTTGGTATGCATAATAACCGCAATCGTACTGTTGCGGCTTGTACAGGGTGGTCCAGATGTCTTGTGACGCCCCTCCAATTAATTTACCCCTAAAAAAATAACTCCTTTGCGTATTAATTTCTGTTATAAATCGACAACAGTACTTAGTTCTAGACTTGAAGCTTTCGTGACTGCAAGGATCCATACTCTTTGGTTCTATTCGGTAAAGTCACGTAGGTAAAAAATAAAACAACAAAAAATCACGACGTTTCGGCCACAACACAAGTGGCCTTCATCAGGTGAAGGGACCAAACTGTCCAGAGGACAGCGTTGGAGTGTCCTCTCGGACAGTTTGGTCCCTTCACCTGATCAAGGCCACTTGTGTTGTGGCCGAAACGTCGTGATTTCTTGTTGTTTTATTGTTTACCTACGTGACTTTACCGAATAGAACCAAAGAGAACAGTACTTAGATAATTAAATGGGGGGAGGTGGTGGGTGGGGGGTAACAAGACATCTGGACCTCACCCTGTATCACATGCGGATAAAACGAACAAGCGTGTGATTGGTGGACCCCCTTCAATTAGCTGGGGGGGGGGGGGGGGTGCTGAGAGCGGTGGTCACGTGACGCCTGCGACCGCCACGTGGCATTCGAATCGTGGCCATTTCCAGAGGTAACAACGTGCAGCGCCAATTAACGATAAAACAATATTAACACGCGCCAATTCGGGGGGGCGGGAGACGTGTAAAATTATCGTCGTGATATAGACATGTTCTCGTCGTGGTCGTGTGTGGTTTTTGTGTATTAGTTAATAGTTAAGGCGTCAGGAAATTGCGTGCAAGTTTTAACAGTGGCTGTTTTTTTTTCTTCCCCATACGCGCGTGCGCCATCTTAGCACGTGGCCCCGTGAGTACAGTCGTACAGGGCCGTGGTCATTCCACTGCTGGATGAAAGTCTTGCCTTCCTAAGACGTGTCGGTGGTAGACCACTACCACAACCCCCGCCCAGTTATAAATCGTGTCTGAATTAATGTTGCAAGTCTCTTTTTTTTAAGGGACTGCAGATTACTGTGCTTTCGTTATCGGTAGAGCGTTCACTTGTAATGTAACTTTTTTTTGGTAAATAGCCATGTATTAAATACAGTATTGTAACTTGCGAGGGAACGCGCACCAGAGTATGTACCGCCCTAGAGATGGAGCGATGAAATAAGAGCTCGCTTGAAGAATCGGACGCATTGTTAGACGGCGGGATCGTGAGATGCTAGCGAACTGCTTTCATCCAGCAGTGGATTCATCGATAGTGGCTGACGATGACTAAACATTGGTACACACACAAAACCCAAATTAAGTTCCTTTTGGAATATATTAAATTCTGGGGTGAAGGAATGTGGATTATTAATTCACAATTGGTGGTGAATGTACCCTATGACCGTATCGCGTGCGTTAGACCTGCCAAGCTCGGCAGGCCTGGGTGGGGGAGTGACCACGTGTTAAACCAGTCTTAAGGGTTGTGGGGTTACTTCTTGATTTTCTTGTTCCACACTGCCCACGTCTTTCATGTTCTCAAGCGTGGTTAATAAATTATGGTCCCAACTCGTATCATCTCCACCTCGCACGGTGGTGGGAAGAGGTCCTCATCTAGCAGTGGATAGAGAAAGAGTTGTGCGTTTGAATTGGTACTGAGAGAGAGAGAGCTATATGCAAGGTTGTGACACCAGCCGTGGTTAAGGCTTTGTTACAAGTTCCAGTTCCTTCGTCCACAATGCGCCACCTTACATTCTGTCCGCTTATCTCGTTTTATAGAACGCTGCTGCGAATCTTGAAACAATCTTCAGCGCGATTGTGTTTTTTTAAAAATTTGTTCAATACATCTATACGTGACAGAACCTCGACTTCAAATTAATGGATAATAATGCTTGGGATAGCCAAAATGAGTATGGACTGCAGCACCATTTGTATGGAGAGACTGGTTGGTTAAAAAAAAGTGTTTCCCCCCCATGCCGGTAACTAAATGAAAAAAAGTAAACATGGTTGGCGATTTGCCGACAACCAAATGGAAAACCCTGGTCAAACACTATTACCGGTAGTCTTGCCACCCATAACTTTATAGAAACGGCTAGAGCAGGCAAACGTGGAACGTGTTCACCTTGTTAAATGAGAAGTTTAAATAAGGCTGCCGGGATGCGCTAGCGCGCCAGGCCCGCGATTACAAACAATAATTGGGCCAAGTTTTTTTTTAAAATCCGCCTCTTGTGTCCTCCAGGAGTATGGACGGGGGGAATGCCACTGCCCACCTCTTGAAAAGGCGTCTCTGTTCGGCGTGGAGGAGTAGACCAAATACCCCGCTAGAAGCTCACTCTTAAGCTGCCAGCAACTCGCATGAGCGAGCAAAATGATTGATTGCTGGCTTTGCACCGCTACCCTTTTTAACTGACCGTAGGGGGTAAAAAAAAGTACGAACCACGCAGTTGAATTAAGTCAACTGCGCGGTTTGGAACTTCCGTTTTGGCCAATCGGTACTTTCATTCAAATTCCATTGCCAACGATGACCAATTGCTGAGTTCGGAAGCAGTAATCCTGAAAAGGATGACCTGTTTACCGGTTATCGTTTGACAACCAGAGTGGCGACAGAGCAGCATTCTGCTGTTATGTGCGTGAGTGTTTTACATTTCATGGAGGAGGGAACAAGACCACAATACAGAACTCGCCCAACGCGTGTTGGGGCAACATTGAGACACGTCACGCCTTTCCGCATTGCCCCACCGAACGCGCCTATTCCAGGTTTACAGCTTTTACCGATTGAAGCACTAATGTGTAAAATGGACAAACATCGTCTCGTCCGAAACCTGGGGTCGGGTAATGAATGCCGCAGCTTCCACTCAAGATCACAGGGGGACGTGGTTCATGTGCTGCCCTACCCGTCCTTGCCAGCAATGTTGGCAGTGGCTAAAGAAGTTTTATTTAAAGCTTGCGTGACTGCAGCGATTCATATTCTTGGTTTCTCTCGGTGAAGTCACGTTGAAGGGAAACAATAAAATAATTAAATATATTTGTATTATTAAACATATATTTATTTTATTGTTTCCCTTCAACGTGACTTTACCGAAAGAACCAAGAATATGAATCACGTGTGCTACTTGAACAAACGGGTGTTGTGCCCGGCAACTTGACTGCAGAACAAACGGTTCAAACCCAGCATGAATGTTGGAGCGTCTGATTTGGTCGTTTAGCCTGCCAACTCAGAAGGGGATGGGGTTTCGAGAAAAAATGCTCACAAAACTTGGTATTGTTATTGCTCAAACTAGATCAGACCGTTTCCCAGTGCACCCAGTGTCGTGTGTGAAAATTAAATGATCTGTTTGAAATGACCCTAACAGATCAGCGATTCAGATTTGAGCTGTACATGGACATTTGTTTATACTTAATGTCGAAGACAGAATTTTGTCCATTCAAAATGGCCATTGTCCAAAGCAGCTAGCTTTATGTATTTTATTTTCCAGTGTTATTAATGGCAGCAGTGATGTTTTTTGATCCTGTGCTTGCAACTTAGGGTTTCATAATTAAAAAGGAATACAGTAAAACCTTGGATTGCGAGTAACTTGGTCTGCGAGTGTTTTGCAAGACGAGCAAAAATTTTAAATAAAAATTAATTTGATAAACGAGCGAGGTCTTGCAATACGAGTAGTACGTATACGTTCTAGATTTAAAGCTTTCGTGACTACTAGGATCCATACTCTTTGGTTCTATTGGGTAAAGTCACGTTCTAGATTTAAAGCTTTCGTGACTACTAGGATCCATACTCTTTGGTTCTATTGGGTAAAGTCACGTAGGTGAAAATAAAATAAAAAATCACGACGTTTCGGCCACAACACAAGTGGCCTTCATCAGGTGAAGGGACGAGACTGTCTGGAGGACAGCGCTGGAGTGGAAGAAGCCACGTTTAGATCACGACCTTTAAGCTGTGTGAGAAGAAAAAGACCACGCGCCTTGACAAAGGAATTAGCATATAATTTAGCATTGAAATGGCTCATTGAAATAGCTAAGTAAAAGTATACACATCCGCAGAGGTACCCCTTGACAAAGGAATTAGCGCTGGAGTGGAAGAAGCCACGCTTAGATCACGACCTTTAAGCTGTGTGAGAAGAAATAACTTTAACATAGCTATTTCTGTGACGAGTTACAAGCTAATCACTCAGCTATTTCAATGCTAAATTCGATGCTAATTCCTTTGTCAAGGGGTACCTCTGCGGATGTGTATACTTTTACTTAGCTATTTCAATGAGCCATTTCAATGCTAAATTATATGCTAATTCCTTTGTCAAGGCGCGTGGTCTTTTTCTTCTCACACAGCTTGAAGGTCGTGATCTAAGCGTGGCTTCTTCCACTCCAGCGCTGTCCTCCAGACAGTCTCGTCCCTTCACCTGATGAAGGCCACTTGTGTTGTGGCCGAAACGTCGTGATTTTTTGTTATTTTATTTTCACCTACGTGACTTTACCCAATAGAACCAAAGAGTATAGTACGTATACGCTTTGCCGAGCGTCACGTGATCACAACTGATATACGAGTGCTTTGATATACGAGTACTTTGGATTACAAACACGTTTCCGGAACGAATTATGCTCGCAATCCAAGGTTTTAATATTCTACCAATTTTATCATAGCTTAATACATGTCTATTATAGATGCTGGCATAAACTGATATAATTTTTGCAAAAAAATATTCACATGGCCAATCTTTGTTGCAGGTCTCAGAGAACACGGGCAGTTGTACAACGATGAGCAACCCTCCCGACGCACACCATGCGGACATACATCTTCCAGAAACCAGCATCTCGACGGCAAGCCAGAGGCGGATGGACAACACGCTATGCCAGGCGTTGTTGGCCATCAGCCAGCTGCTCACACAGCCGCAGCAACAGACGGAGCAGGCCATCACCATGTTGAGCATCGAGCAATTGAACAGCCTCGTAAAAGCGAATTTGATGCCCAGCAGCACCACACAGGTGGCACCCGCCACCGCTGCTGCTGCTGCCGCTGCCATCGCTGCATCGTCCGTGCCTCCCTGGGCTGCTTTTCCATACGGGGCGATTGGATGGCCGTACGAACACAACCCATACCTATACCCTTACCCTCAGCCCAAGCCGTATGCGCTTCCCTGCATCTGCAGAAATTGTCAGCCGGCACAGTGCTGCAAAAATCACCCGTCGCACCTGCACGCGCCTGCGGGGCAGATGCAGTGGGGTTGCACTCAGCCCGCGCCTGCTGGCGCCCCGCAGGAGCGTGGTCGTCATGCACACACTGGAAAGTGCCCACAGGAAACTTGCAGCCAGGAAACTTGCAGCCAGGAAAGCAGCCGCCCCAGCACGGATGGAGCCAGTCGTTTCACGCCACAAGGCGACTCATATTTTTACGGCGGGGAGTCGCGTGGCATGGGAGAGACCAGAGTCTTTAGAAGGAGAGATGACGGTGACTGGAAGAGGCAGAATGTGCAAGGCCCAGACTCGTATTGTGGCAGCGCGGGAGGCAGAGGGGCATGCGGTGGGTGGAATGAGCAGCAAAAATGGAGCAGGGGTGGTTATCGAGGTGGGAGCAGCTTTGATGATGGTGGTGGCGGCGGGCGTAGTGCATGGCGTGGTCGGGGAAATTGGTCGGGTAGAAATGTTAATTCTGATCGTAAACGGCCTTGGGAATCTATGGAGTCCAATAATCGTGGTTCTCAGGATTGGAACACAAGCTCCTCATCCTTCCGCAGGGAACCTGCCAAGCAGCGTAGTGCTCCGTGGTGGGCACAAAAGGTTGATGGAGAGACCCCTAATGCCACAGCATCTGTTGTATTGTCCGATGATTGGGAAAATGACCCCGCTATACCCGAGGGCAGTGGGGAAGAGAAAAGCAAGGCAAGCTAAAATACATATATGTGGAGGGTGAATGACCACACGTGACTTTGCCAAATGAAAGCAACAGTATTTGAAGTAATGTGGCTGTGATTAATCAACAGCAGATGCTCAATCAATACTTGCTTTCAAGGCATGTAACATTCATTGGTTAATATTTTTCCGACTACATGCATCATCAAGGCAAGGAAGCGTTATTTACAAGATGACTGAATTTGGGTTTCACCTCCCCTAATTAACCCAGGTCCTGAAGTTCAGGGAGTTATGATCAAAGCCCAGTCACCAATAACTGGACAAAACTTTCACGTTAAATTAGCTTTTTTCCACTTAATTTGACTCAATTTCAGCCTTTGAGAATTTCAAAATTTATCAGATTTGCATGTAACATTTTAAGTAATACTGATGCGTGATAAAATGTGCTTCCTATCGTGTGGATAAAAGTCACTTGATGGAATTTCACAAGTAGCTCCACAATATATGCTTCGTTGGGCTGCTCTTTAACTCGGAGAGTGATGCATAATCCAAAGATCCAAATGGACGCTTCATGTCATGGAAAGAACACAATTGGAACAGAATTGGGGGGGGGGGGGAAATGACAATGTACGCAAATTATTTTGAAATCTTGAGGCTAATGGAACAAAAACATGACCCCTGACCGGAGACAATTGATAAAGTCATAAACAGGTGAATCGTTGCGTGCCTGGTGTCATTGGATTGTGTTGTCATATTGAAATAAGTCGACATTGTATGAGTAGGTGAGTTGATATGCCAATTATAGTATTTGGTTATATCACTTAAATTTGTTTCACCGATGTAAAAAAAAAAGTTGGGAGTCTCACGTGGCTTAGAATGTAAGAGTACTTTCAGTTTCCAGCTGGATGGAAACCGAATTGCTTTGAAGAGTGCCACAAAGTTGTGTTTTTACTCCCTTTTTCTGTGTTATTTTTCTAAAATAGAAAAACCTCTTGCACGTAATGGTACATCTTTAAAGAATTATTCAATGTTTTCTGTGTTAAATGTTAATGTGTTTTATCTGAACTTGTGTTGCACTGGTTTGAGGACAGTTTTGCAATCTTAATTCAGACTGGTTAGTCAACAGCAATTAATATCTCAGGGGTTGATAAAACAGCGTACCACATTGTGGGACATGATAGTTGACCGACATACACTCAACCCTGACAACTGTAGTTTCTACCATTTGCTCACAGATAATGACAGGCGATGTGGTACCAAATGCTGGTTTGATTGCAGAAGCACCTTTTTAATTCTGGCGAATTGCCCGATGCTGGATGTAATTAACAGCGAAACGTCGTACTCAAACTGTAAATGTTGTGGAGTCACTCTTCAACACACCGGTGGGATAAAGTAGTGAACTATTTGTCTTTTTTTCAACGTGACACTTATTTGCTGATTGGCCGTGTCGGGTGGTGGTGGTTACAACACATTTATAAATAACGCGCTCTAACCCAAAAACCTTTATGAATAATATTGGTCGCGAAAGTCTACGTGTTAAACTCACCTTTTTGATGTTTTCTTGAGTTAATGACAACGTGTGGTAGGCTATATGCTCAGTTTAACACCTAGGCTTTCGCGACCAATATTCATAAACGATTTTTGGGTTAGAGCGCGTTATTTATAAATGTGTCGGGTGGTGGAGGGTTACGACACATTTATAACGCGATCTAACCAAAAAACTTTGAAGGCTATATGCTGTTGGAATAACCCAGTGTTTACAAGTTGTCTTGATTGTAAAAAAAACACGTGGATGTTTTATAAGCATTGTGTTTGGACTTCTGAAGAGTATTCTAGATTTAAAGCTTTCGTGACTGCTAGGAATCCATACTCTGGTTCTATTGGGTAAAGTCACGTAGGTAATCACTCAGCTATTTCAATGCTAAATTCTATGCTAATTCCTTTGTCGAGGGGTACCTCTGCGGATGTTTATACTTTAACTTAGCTATTTCAATGAGCCATTTCAATGCTAAATTATATGCTAATTCCTTTGTCAAGGCGCTTGGTGTTTTTCTTCTCACACAGCTTAAAGGTCGTGATCTGAGTGTGGCTTCTTCCACTCCAGCGCTGTCCTCCAGACAGTCTCGTCCCTTCACCTGATGAAGGCCACTTGTGTTGTGGCCGAAACGTCGTGATTTTTTTGTTATTTTATTTTCACCTACGTGACTTTACCCAATATAACCAAAGAGTTCTGAAGAGTAATTTCATTGTAATATGCACACAAGTTTGTTATCAACGTGTTACAACCAAATAAAAAAAACTTTATGCATTTAAGTGTGCGGTATATTGCATGAATTTCCATTAATTGTACATACCTTCAATCCTGTGACTATCCTGCCATATGGCCGATTGTGGAAGCTAAGCAGGTTAGAGCCTGGATGGTGCTTGGATGGGTAACCACACGAAGAAAGGTCTAATAAGCATTGATGGCTGAAGAGGACTGCGTGCAAATCGACTGTGGCTCTGCAGTCCCCTTTAACTCCACCCCTCCCCATCTTTGTCAACCTGTGTGAAGTATAGCCAAACATTCCTCACCACCCACAAGGCTTAGCGAGGCCCTCATCAAGCAGTGAATTGTCAAAATGTGCCTCAATACGAACTGTATAATTAACAACCACGTGGCCTTCCGTATGAAACATGTTAGGAGGCTCTCGTCCAACAGTGGATTGGCAAAAAAAATGGGTGTACATTTACCAGTGTGGAAACCAACACTTTCCCAAGCTCATCTGCAGGAATAAAATGGCCTAAAGTTTTCACAATTCACAGCAGCACATGGCTAACCCCACAATCACTGCCAGCCAGTTTTGTTTTAAACTTATGATTGGCCAGAGCAACTATGTTGGCCAATAATATGAGCAATCACAATCCACAAAATGTAATTATATTACACGTGTAATTAACTCATGACGTGCAGTTTTTAAATATGGTATCTTGACAATGCACATTGACAGTATTACCTTATCCTCTTCCTTTCACTGTACACGAATATACTGTATAATATACAGCCCTTTTCAATCCACTGCTGCATGAAGGCCTCCCCCCACTCCGTAGTGTGTGTAGGCTGTTGAATCACTATGTAACGTAACACGATTTTTGTTCCTGGGTAGTGTTATTTTCTAATTGCTTATGCCTCAAAAGTACAGAAAATGGCTATTCCCACAAACTTTGCTTTTTTATATCACGTTGGACAGACCGACAACTATACATTTGCGTGCATGTATATTTATTTCTCTTAGCCAACACACCATTAAAACACGTTTATTATGCAACAGCAACATAATCAACAAATATATTTCAAAAGGTGGTTGCACTCATTAAAAGACACAAGCCGTCAGGCTCATCAGTACCTGCCATATGGCATGGAAGCAGCCAGGTTCAACACCAATCGACCTGAAATATTTGTTAAAACTCAACTCGGCAGGAATCATTCGCCAAGCCCATTTGTGGTAGCATAATCCCCCTTTTTCCATTGGTACATCTGAGCCACGGAGCCTTCAGTATGGATGCTTATCCACTGGCTATTTGCCATGCCGAACCAGGAAAAATGCAGTGATCCGCTGGACTCACAAGACACATTGCGTGTGATGGTTAGTCGTTATATTGTAAAGACACAGCACGACACTTAAGTGGCATGGCTCATCTGCAGTGGAAAACCTGGCACCTCCTGAGCTATGCCGGGTTGACTGTGTAGTGCCCTGGCAAGGATCAGATGTATAGTGGAAGAGAGTTACAATAGTCGAGAGCTATAAGTCGATCGAGCGCTTTAGATACATTTGCAGGCCTGCATTGAAACAGATGCATATGAAAAATAAATTAACTTAGAAATTGCAATGAAAGCATCGGAGAACTGTAGTATCAAGTCCATATAAATGGGACTGCCAAAACATGAAAAGTTTATCTTTGGTATTTGTAAAACGTACAGGAAATATGGCTTGGTGACTAACCTGCCAAGTTAAGTTTCCTCAAACTGCAGTCCAAATAACTTGTCCCCATCCTCTCATCGGTGGCTTATCACCAAGCGGTACTTCATTCACCAGATATTATGATCAATACAGTAGTCTGACAATGCGAGATTAAAGTTGATACCGGTCGCTGCACAAAGATTTTCTACTTCCAGAAACAGTGATTTGTAAGCGTTCAACTGGACAAAAATGATTGGAAGTGTATTTTTTAAAATTCATTTAACATCGAGTTTAGAAATTAAAGATTGAAGAGAAAAGTGTGTAGTAGGTGAGAGAGTGCAGTCAGAGGTGGGGAATGTTTAGAAAACTTAAAGTTTTAGTTTCTTGCAAAGGTATACCTATTAGCTGCTTTGCATTGTACCAGGAAGGGCTCAACACAAATAGAGGAAGTTTGGAGCAACATTAGGCGTTGTGTATTGTGCGCTGTGTGCAATGCATGCACCGTTCTGTGGCTTCCCCCACCACCCTCCAACCCCAGCATTGTCTTGCGTAGCTTCATATGCTGCAAGATTGAAATGATGTAAAAACTGGGCGAAGGAAATGTGCGGAACCGCATGTCACGAAAACAGGTTACGTGACAGGAAGGCTGCCTGGCCCCTGAGCACCTAACCTGTTGCAAATACTGTAGTTGATTCAGAACGTTTGAAATTGTGGGATGGAAATATTGTGATAAAAATATGACTGTATATGAATGACAGATGAAAGTCACTTGCGGGCAGGTCCATTTGATGCTCCTAACAATGGAGTGTAAAGCGTATGTGAATGTATAATGATAAGTTAGTAATAATATTCATACAAAACAAAAACAATTAAGAAATCAAAATTACAGCCTCAAATTAGTTTTATTCTGTCACGATGAAGGACTGTCAGCCAGGCTTTAATTCTCTCTCTGGAATAATGTTATATGGAGTATTTAATCTTCAATGCTTTTAATTCAAATAAGTCAAGTATTTTTGCCCTTGTAAACACAACTTTTCATCGTGCTAATTTTTCCGGATAAACAGTGTTAAAATGTTGATAGTTACCCTTGCCGCTTTTTCAATGTTATTGTTTAAACCGGCTGCAAAAATGCTAACTCTCCACACTTGGCAAGCTTACTCTGATATAAATAACCCACCCAACACAAGAGGCACTGTCCCTACTTACATTCATCGTTTTCACCATTGCAGGCAATGTTGGGTTTGGGTTCATCCAGGAATAAAGGCACAAGATCTCCCCCCATCCACTGCACTCCATCAGTCCTCTGAGATCTTCAGGATTTTCTTTTTCATATCACACAGCTGGAGAGAATTTTATTTTCTGTAAACCCGACACATTTTAAGACTGAAACTATACTTGTGGGGACGTAGTGAAGGTTTAATTCCAGGTGCGCAGCACAACCGGTCATTGTGGGTATCCAGACATCTCCAACGTGTTTGAGATATGAACACGAGTGATGGTATTTCTTGAGTCTGCATAATTTTATCTTTCCAACAAACCAAAATAAATGGTGATTATTATGCCGACGACTGGACCTATATATACACACACAGTGGGGTCAGTACAGTAACAGATTTGGCAGCCAATAGTTGTGTAGATTCAATATAAATTACAGAATAGTCGAAATTATTTTATCTATGACAAGGTCGGCGGGGGGGGAGAGAACTTCACGGAACCAGTCTGTAACCTGACCAATAACCACCAGGAACCGTTAACCAGCAGGACACCCCCAGCCTCCACAACGTGGCTGCATCCCGGGTTTTAGTCCATTTGGAGTGGCTCAACAGCACGTTGTGCTACAGCAGAAACACAACACCTTGCGATCTCTTCGAGGGCTGGAGGAGGCCGTGACATCAGAACTTGCAACGCTCTTTTTCAACAATCACAAGCAAAAAAAAATAAGTTACCCGTTTGGTTTCATAAAAATACGTTACAAGCGACTGCTATACAGTATGTACAGATGGTGTGAGCTAAAATGGCAAAAAAATACACAGGTACAGTATCCAGATGGTTATACGCAAATGAAGTTGGTTATACAGCAGAATGCTTGCGTTTTGAAGCTTCCAAACTTGACGCAGACCATCCTGACATTTGCTCGCATGCCTAGTTGAGTTATTTTTTTAAAGCTAGGAGTTGCTATGATTCGTATATGAAGTGCATTAGATGCAAGGGTGCAATTGCCCAAAAATCTATAAGTGTGACAGAAATTGTCAATTCACATCAATAGACATTCACAACTAGTATTACCTGCACAAGTGTAATTTCTTCAATAATTGTTGCTATCAAAATCTCATATACACATAATTAATAGTTATAAGCAAGAGAAGGCATGGCTTTGTTAAAAGATGTGTTAAACTATAAGCGTGAGTTGTGTATTTTTTACAAAATTTTATTCTGCAATTTTGCATAACAAAAATAGAACAAAATGGCTATTAAATAACTTATGTCGCTTGAAATATAACAAATCATAATTATCTTTTATACAACCCTATTCGCACACAAACAGTCCCCGTGTGCTAGGAATGGGACAAGTTTAACAAAGTTTGCTCCCTTTGGTTGAGACGAAAATTTGCATTTATGGTTGACTGCCTCGATAAGGCCACACGGAGGACACCCACAGTGCGGAGTGCGTCATGCCCAACACTACACTCGCGCTGGTGGCAGATCGGTGTTTGCAGTGTGCAGGGGGGGGGAAAAAAAAAAAATCACTAAGGCAAAGTCTCTGGCAAGGACATTATCATCTGCACGGGGAAGTTAGATCAACACTTTAGGTTGGGACTGTGGAGTGACTTCCAGATATCCATCATCTCGTGCGGGTTGCGCGGGTGCACGAGGATGAGGTCCCTGTAGACGCATATGTTGTTGCGCTCCTTCTCGGAGATGTCAAATGTTCGGAAGCCCGAGTTCTTGGTGGGCGCGAAGCCCATGCGCCGGAGGCACATGCCCACGTACACGTCGTCGATGGGAAACTGCATGACCTGACGTGACACCTGGTGGATCCGCCGCGCCATCTCACCCGAGTAGACGTAGCCACCGCCGCCGGCGTACGGCGGGTACGCGCCCTCAAACACACTCTCCGGGATGTAGTACTTCACCTTCTTGTCACGGTGCGGCCCGGCGTTGACGATCACGTCGCCCAGGAACAGGTTCTGCACCTTGTCCGGCGCCGTGATGTTGCTCAGCAGGGCGACGGTGCGGTCCGTGTTCACGAACACGTCGTCGTCCCCCTTGAAGATGAAGCGCACGTCGGAGCAGCGCTGCTCCACCCACTTGAGGAAGAGCAGCTCCTTGAGCGTCAGGTTGAAGAAGCTGTCGCGGAAGTCCCACTGCAGGATGTCGCTGTAGCGCTTGCTCTCCAGGTCCAGCAGGTGCTGCAGGTTTGGCTCCAGGTCAGGGTTGGCCGGGCGGCCCAGCAAGAAGACGCGGCGCACGGTCACGTTGCCCGACGTCTCTGCCCCCCACGACTCGCGGATGGCCTGCCTTCGGTCGAAATGCGCGATGACCGACTTGATGGCGAATAGGAGGAAGGGCCGGTGACCCGCGCACTTGCGCGGCTGGTCGATGAGCTGCGGGAATGTTTGGCAGTTCTGGTAGAGCAAGAAGTCTCTGAAGGACTGCGGCAACGTCTCAAAGTCACCCACTTCGGTCGTCGCGCGCACGTTCGGCTCGCAGCTGAGCACATCGGGCGCGGAGTTGTTGGCATCGTGTTTGCTCACCGCGGTCACGGAGCCCTTCTGGCTGCCATTGACGAGGATCGGGTTGTAGGACCTCTCCAGCCGCCACTGCTCACGGTTCCAGTATGCCTTGGGTGGCTCGTCCATTCGCCAGAACGGGACATCGCTCGCCGGGATGATGGGGGTGCCGCGCTTCTTTATGGACGAGCTGAACCCCCGCGACAGCTGCATCGTGAAGAAAACGAAGAGGTTGCCGATGACTGCGCAGACCAGCCACAGCAGTGCTTTCTTCTTCATCATGTTCATTGCACACGCACCTGCGCACCAGAGACGAGGAACAGCAATGGGAAAACCTGCCGTCAAATGGGGTACAGATATAACCACGGAGAATGAGCAGAAGAGGCGACCAGTACCCCAACGCGAACCATGTTTGCACAAGGACAAAGCGTTCCAAGTCACACAGGGACCTACGTGTAGTTAAAATAAATATCCAATTGTTCCCAACTTCCGAATCATTTGCATTCACATACCATTCAATTGACCCTCTGACAGCTGAACATTTTTTTTCTTCACATATCTGCCATTTCTTTCAATAAGATAAATACTTTTTCAAGTGTACTTAAACAAATACTGTGTTACACTGCAGAATCGTGAGAGTTGGTGGCAGTTTCTCTTTGGGCCTTCATACAATTTTGAATTCACCATGGCTGATGTGGACTTAAATGACGTCAAGTTACTTTTCACTTAATTAAACAAAACACTGCAGAGGCACAAAATTGTTCCAATAACTTACAAATACTTTTTAATGCTCTTTGTGTAGAGATGATGGTTAATCACGTATGGAGACTGATCTACCTACTTTCTGGTGTTGCTTCATAAAGGCTAGAAAAGCGCTGGTGGAAGTGACAAAATAACCCTGCCAAGTTAGATATTGCTCAAATAAAGCCAGACGCGAAGCAATCGAAAATAATGGACTCACTGGAGCCGAAAGAAGAACATTTGTTGGATTCCAAAACTAAATTAATGGATGCTGACATTTCATGTAGTTTGCCAAATACTTCAGAAGTGAGGCATTGCTGGCTGCTACTGGCCCTGCTGCACTCATCTGCCATCAAATATTTATTAGAAGTTTGTTTTTTTAAAGCCCTCTCACTACACGTCACACTGGCCTTTTTCAGTCACGAGGGTGGAGAAAAACAACTCTGCAGCTGACAGACCCCCATAAAAGAACAGTCAACAGGCAGAGAGGCATGTGCCACGTCATCTGGATTAGGGTTCGAATGTCACACGATGACCATCATTTGGATCAGTTTCATTTGGATTAAGTTTAACAAACGGATGAGACGAGAACACATTTCTGTTCCCACATTTACGCCAATGTTTGTAACCTTCCAACAAAACCTTTTAAATGTGTGGGGCGCCACGGTGGCGAGATATCAACTACCTCGCCTGGCGTGCCCTTGGAAAAAGACGGTCACTGCATCGTGCGCTCTCAGATGCGCTTCTGCGGCCGTCTGGAATGCTCTTCTTTTCGATATTAAGAAGCCACTGGAGCTATGCACTTTTAAATCTAGATTCAAACGATTTTCTTTATAACTGCTTATTGTTTAATTTGATGTCCTTCCCCTGCACCACCAATTAGCACAGTTGGCTACGTACGGTGCGAAAGAAGTTCAACATACAGGTCGTGGGTTCAAATCCCGACCCTGACGTCTGTATATTTGCATGTTCTCCCGGTGATTGCGTGGACTCTTTTCGAGTCCTCCGGTTTTTCCCTCCACATTTAAAAACATTCGTTTATAGTATTCGGCTGAAAAAGAGCTGTATAGCTCAGTGGGCCTTACCTGGTAAAATAAAAAAATAGTTTAGTTTAAATATTTGATCATTGGTCACGATTCACAATCAATGATTTGATTCAATCACACATTTTTGTTCGACATTTTTTGTTTGTGCCATTAGCCTAATTGAGGACATAATAGCACATAATTAACAGAATTAATAATTAATTATCACACACACAGTTCAATACATACAACGTTAGGTGTAGGGCTTCGTTTTAAACGAAGGATCCATGCATCACTGCGTGCATCGTCCCGCACCTCTGAAGAGCACGGTTGGCTACGTACAGTGCGAAAGACATACCAACATACATACATATGTGCTCAGCACCAACTGTGTGTCATGGCCACATGTTTCTCTTTAACACCAAGCAATTTTGCCATAACATGCCAACATACGTAAGAGAAATTATACAACATATTATCATTGTTTAAGCTCAAAGACTTATTCAAACTACCCTTTAAAATATAACCATTTGAACCTACTTGCTTGGCACACTTTGTTCTTTTTAAAAAAAGCCCTGTGTATCCATGAAACAGGATTACAGATCTCATTCATGTAGCTTCTGTAAGTAAGCATGGGTTTCCTGGGTATCCTATGTTTATAACAATGTTGTCAAGTGCACAAACTCATTTATTTATTCAGTGTCTGTAGCCAAGGTGCTCAAGAACAAATTAACATTCGCAGAGATGAATACTTGGCATTCGGTATCGATACGAAACTTCTTTCTACAAATAGTAACCACAGATATTCTATACTAATAATGTCTGCACACACGTACAAACAGTCGGGTTCATTGATGACCGATGCACTCACTGGTACACTCCTGTCTGTCACTCACTCATTCACCAGATGATCTGCTCCATTGACACTTTCATATTTCCTATGAACTTCCAATCATTGATTCCTCCACTCGTATTAAAGACTGTCTAGTCTCATCCACACTGCGTTCAACCACTGCAGGTCACAAACACTTCTTTTCCGGCTTCTTCCCTTCCCTCGCATTGCTCAGCTTTAAAATTCCCCCCAATACCTCTTCCTTCAAGTTTTTATAACTTTGCTCAATGTTTTTTTTATCAACTCATCTATTATACCTTCGATCGTGCTGTTCGTTGCTGGTCGATTTGTATTTTGGGCCTGTGCTTAGCAAATGTGACAACAAATGAAAACTTGCCAATTGAGACTCGTAGCACATTACACCTATCTAGAACAATACCTATCTACAACATGCTCATCGCTATAACACAGTGTATTGGCGGAAGCGGTATCGCAGTTTGCATGAACCTAAGTTCGATATCTGACCATGGCATAGACACCAATGACAAGCGATATCTTTAAATGCCCCTAGGCCACCGTGCAGGGGTCAAACAAAGACAAACAAAGACTGACAAAGATCCCCCATATAGCCTTTAACAGACTTGTTTGGGGCAAATGCTGTTAGCGAGCACCTATGAAAGCCGGAACGGTACACAATGGGTTGGTGGGTGGCCAGCATCACGCCCGTCCACCTTTGTCTCACACCACACAGAGGTACTCATTTGAGGCCGAGTCGACCTAACAAAGGCCCAATACCGGTTCAGATAATCGTCACAGGTGGTGACCGAGGGCGAGAATCAAACTCGAGTCGCTGGGTTCGTAGCGAGGCGCACAACCGCTACACTACCGCTCAGACAACCCCTGTCACTAACATGTCGTGGTTAAGGCCTTGACAATCACCTTAAATTACTATCATCATTATACACGCGTTAGGTCCACGACCCAGTCAGTCTAAAGTCAGACGCACTAATGACAGCTGTAAACCAGCAAAGAGTACCATGTACATACTTGCAAGCAGCACTCATGAACTAACCCGTGGGTGGAATCCTTGTCGTCTATTTCACGGCGAGACTGCGCTGGCCCATATGGTGCCAGCTCGTTGCAGTGAACCGCGTAAATAAGTGCCACCTAACGCCGAGCCCCTCCCTCTCTGCCACTTGAATTGCATTACGAAACGAGTCGCCTGCAACTGACGACACAACTTACGTCTTCAACCTCCAAAGAAAACAAGAAATCCACGTTAGGCCCTAAATTACCGATGTTGTGTGTTTATGCACTTCAGTTCCAACCCGGCCCCCGGACTTGTCCATTAGCACTACATGAAATTATAAAACTTAATTGTAATACTAAGACCATTTAACTAATGAACATTATTGTCGTAGCCAATGTCCGAGAGCGGCACAGTCCAGAATGAGATGTACAATGGGAACAGCACACATTTTCACAGCTCTTGGCGAGTCCACTGCTGGATGAAGGCCTTCTTAAACCATGTTTGACCCATACTTCACGTCACTGGTCAAGGCAGTTTGGTGAAGAGGGTGATGGGACAAGACCAACTTCGGTAATCCCTTGTCACTGACTTTGGCCACGGACAGGGATTGAACTCAGGACCCATGTTTATACACGGTAACAGTGCCAGCGGCAGTGTGTCCACCACTTGTTGAAAAGCCTCATGGTTGGTTTGCATCAGCCATCCTGGTTATTACTCTGGGTGCATTAACCATGAACATACCATGCACGGTCTGCTTTACAACGGACATAAATAATCCCATGATGTAATTCGAGTAGGCCATTGTGTGCCAGTGACATGGTCCAGATTTTTTTAAATTAGGTGCAAATTACTCATTTGGAATCAAATCCTCATCGCAATAATCGCCCCCGACTGCAAAAACTTGGCAGGACCCTCCTAAAAGACAGCCATGAGCCTCAGTGAGGCTCTTTCTTGGAAACTAAGCATCATGATAAGTGTGTGCTAACCAGATGCACCACCACTCCACTCCCTTCACTTATCTAGTGCCATAATTATTCTGGTTACCTTTTACACGGTAGATGGCAACAACACGGATTTGGTCTGAAGCAGTGTAAGAATATTCCCTTGTATTGGTCGACTTCAACATTTTTTTTTAAACGTGAGTTTTCCCGCACCGTGTACCCTCAATTCAAGAAAATGTAACAAGAAAATATCTTTGCATGGGAAGACCATAACCAATAGCTTATAACTGTACCATATTGAACTCTGGACACATTTTCTATCATTCAATGTGCGATAGGAAGTGTAACATTTCGCAATATTACCGAACACGTAGGTCTTAGCAGCCAATGTTGTGATACATAATACATATTTTGGGGGTTACGCCACGTAGTTCATCAAGTATGGTACAAATGGATGTCAGTAGTGAAATGCGTATGTTTCGTATGGTGGCACAGTCTAGGTATACGCCTAACTTCCTTCAAGATGGCTGGCCAGCGTGGAAGAGTAGGCCAAATACCCTCGTGAAAGGGCTCTCTAGAGACCCCTCTAGTGACCCCTCTAGTGGAGGCCCATCTGCCAGCAGTGGCATGAGTAGGCAATTTGAGGGTTGCACATTTATCTTTTAACTTGCCTATTGTTTACACGACATGTTTCGAACACGACAATTACAACACCGCAACAAATTTGCAAACACAATTCATGTTTTGCAATGTAAGCTTCTCTTCGTTTCTTGTTTTCTTTATGTCCACTGGGAGTACATTTGTCTCGAAAAGGACAAATTCAAAGATCCGCCATGTGGCCTTAAACAGGTTGTTGAGGCAATATCTGTTAGTGAGCACCTATGCAGGCCGGCACAGCACACGATGGGGTTGGTGGCCAACAGGTGGCCAACACCACACCAAGCCGCCTTTGTCTCTCCAGTTCTTATGATTACACAGCACCAGGTACCCATTTGAGGTCGAGTTGACCTAGGGGAGGCCCAGGACCGGTTTAAATCTTCACCACCATTACCGGTTTTGTAGCACAGAACGCGAACAACTGAACCACTGCTACACACACTCGTCTATGCGGACACACACGTAGCAAAATAAAACAATTCCTGCCATTCTCAATCCACCCATGGATGAAAGCCTCCCCATGTCATGCCGATCATGGGAGGTTTTTTTGTTCTCACCATACTACACCACTCTGACCAACGTGGTTTGGTGAAGTGGTGGGGGGAGGGGCAGTGAGGAGGACAGGACCCGTTCTGATATCATTCATCGCCGATGTTAGCCGGGGTCAAGACTCAAAACTCTGGCCGCTAAGTTCACAGAGAATGACCATTTATTAATTTTCTGAGTCATTTGCACCAATATGTATTTCTCATTTAATTTTGTCCCTCACCATTACGATACATGGCATGAATGCCATGGGGATAGATGGACTATTACAAATCACATAATAATGAGAGACAGAGGCAGCTTTGGGCGGCATTCATCCAGCAGATGATTAATCGTGGCTGATGGCAATGATGATGATTTTGGGGCAAAGAATGTGAACGATGGCAAAGGAAATTCTGACTCAGCCTTTTCTCCGTCAGCAGCAGAATGGGCACCCATCCATTTGCCTGGCTTTCCAGAAGGTGGCACGGAGCAGCCATGTAAAAAGTCAGTCAGCACTCCAGTTTAGGGTTTGGGTCATCGATTAAATTTACCCTCTTATCTTGACACTATGAGAATAAAATGCATTTTCAGTGGGGTCAAATGCAACAATTACCTTGAAGTCATTAATAATTTCCCCAAAACAGAGCCAAACATTTAAAATGAATCATTGCAAATCGACTCATAACAATCACATTTTTCATCGTACAATGACTTGCAGAAATTATGGTGTATGAATTGACTACAGCCTTGCAAATTAACTGCGCTTTTACGTTGAACTCGATCAACGTACAAACTCAAGATTGTCGAGCAAAATTGCCGTGCATATTATCCCGCAATAATTGTAAATGTGGTGTGTACCTGGTATTTTTTTTATAGACCATCTGCAGCAGCATTCGATCACTATTTCAATGCTCACAAAGAAATCAAGAAGTTGAACAGATGAGTCCTGAGGAGCTCATGGGGAAAAAAATAAACTTCTGAAAAAAAATGTGCTAAGCAGCTCCAAATTCCATCTTAATTGCTAATGAACATCACTTATATTTACATTATTTTCTCGATAGTCATGAACTTGCTATCCACAAATCGCATCTGGAACTCTACACGACTGCATCAAGAAAATGTGATGCGAGATAAAGTGATAGGATAAAAGATAGGTTTTGTAGGCCAATATTATTATCTGAAAAAGAGACTATTCACGAGCTTCTCCGGAACGTATCCCTCGTGAATAACGAGGGGAAACTTTACCTCTGATATCGAAAAGTAAGGTTACTTGTGCTCGGACAAAGAATACTGCAGTTAACGTAGTGTTGGATTAAGCGTGTCTGCATTTCCGGGGTTTTGCAGTAACCGTGCTTGGAAAAACAATGATTAATTTCCATTCTTATATGTAGTAGGCTTTAACAACTGATCTTACATTAAGTTTGATCGTGTAGGTATCAGAAATGAGTTGAAAACTAATTTATTTAGAATTTATTGTTGTGCTTAGTTTGTTGTCCTTCCCCCGCACCTCCTATTAGCACGGTTGGCTACGTACGGTGCGAAAGAAGTTCAACGAAGTTCAACATTCATACTGCAAACGTTTCGACCATGCCCTCCACCAGCCCACAGAGCCAATCAAAGCAAGTTGTCACGTAGGCTAATGTGCCAATTGAACAATTGTAAAAATTGTGCTTGCTTTTCAACATTATGGTTTTCTCAAAAAACAATTCAAATGGCAGATTTGCCCACAAGACAAATTGATTGCCTCTGAATGATGGCAGAGGGTATGGTTGAAAATTGCCATTGTAACTATATCTAACCCAAAATAACTGTATTATGAATCATAGTTTGGCCTGCTCGTTCATGCCTAATGTGTGATCATGCCGGGTCTATTATTATTATCTGCTCCTGTCTTGTGACACAAGTGACAGATTATTTTAGGCAAAAGAAACAGATTAATCCTACGTCTTCATCCCCGTTCTACATAAAACACATTTGGTGTATCGCCCAATTAGTTTCATGTGGTCCTTCCATTACCCTCGACAGTGTCTATTCCACTGTAAAGCACCGGGCGGCAGCATGGTGCAGTGGTAACAATCATGGCCTCGAGGCAAGAAGGTGCCTTGGGTTCAATTGCCAACTCGAGCAGCCCTTTATGTGTGGATATTGTCACCCTTTTTCTGCACGGGTTTTTTCCCATTGCTTAAAAGAAAAAGTACAATATACAGTGGCTGGTATTGGTCAAGGATCCCAATGCTGCAAAATTACAAGCAAATTTGCTGAATTGGGATTACGCATATCAACATCGCTCCCGACTGCAAAAGCCTGGCAGGACATTCCTGAAAACGAGTCTTGAGATGCGGCGATGCCCTCCTGGATAAACAAGCATACTCATCCATAATACAGGGTTTTTGGGTGAGATCGCGTTAATTTATATACAGTGGTACCTCGGTATACGTCGTCAATTCGTTCCAGAAGGTAGGACTTATACCGAAGATGACGCATACCAGACGAATTTATCCCATAAGAAATAAAGGGCAAGGAAATAATCCGTCCCAGAGTATAAGAAATTACATTTTATATGGCACATTATACATTCATGGGTTGTATAAAATAATTTAGACACTACGAATTAATAAAGTGCATACATAAATTAAAATGAATTGAAATAAAAGTCAAATCTAACATCACTTTACCTTGCTGAAAATTCACGTAAAAATGACAAAAAAACACGTGAAAATTCACAGAGAGTGACAGCAAGAGGGTTGTGCACTGAACGAGATCTACAGGCAGACTGAGGAGCTGCGCTTTGTTTCAGTCGTGAACGGGGTCTACGCGGGGACATGATGACTCAATCCCGACCCATACAAGTTCTAACAAGCGAGGTGTCGCATCCCAAAGCAAGACGTCGTATCCCAAGGCATTTTTTTTAATCGTCAAAACACGACGTATACCAAATTCGACGTATTCCAAAGCGGTCGTAGACCGAGGTATGACTCTGTACTTGTATTGGTCGCGAAAGCCCACATGATAAACAAGCGTACTCATAAAAAAAGATATTAATCCCACAGTAAAACTCGGGTAATTACAAAAATGCACTGCCTTTAATGCTTTAGGGTAGCGATTTTACCAAGAACTGACTCTTGGTTTTTTTTAACCCTCTCATGAATAAATGATTGAAGCAAAACCAAGCATTTGCTTTGGTTTAGTATACATTTAGAAGTTAATGAAACCCAATCAAAAATGTGTTGAACATTTTTCATACAAATGCAGCACAGTGATTTAAGTCCTGGCAGTCCACCACGGTAGACATGTGAGAGGATGACTCTAGCGGTGAATGTAAGCACCTGTGGCGGATGGGGTCACGAGAATCCACATGCAAAATAAACAAACCCCAAAAAGACATCGATCCTTAAGCAATACTGTGCACGTATCTGGAGCTGAGGAATCAATATTGTGAATCAGTGCATCGTTTCCCCTATACATGCTGCGTGCCACTATATATAGTCTAGAGATGGGACAGTGCAGTGCAGTATATAGATAAAGTGCTTGAGTTGAAGTGTTTAAAAGCCTCAAAGCCTCTATATTTTCTAACATGAATGTGAAAAATGGCAAACTTTTGTCGGCGTGAGTGCCATGGCTCCATTTACCGCTGCCAGTAAATATATTCTTTAAAAACAAGTTAACTTAATTTATTAGCCACTATCAGCCACAACACACCAATGTTCCCATTCTATAAATAGGCATAGTCCAAGGGTCAAACCGTATACTCAACCCCACTTAAAATTACCCTTGAAATTCCACATGCATTTTGTTACTTTCTTCATGCTATCTCAAAGTAGTTCCATTTTTGTAAATGGTTTGTACTATATTATTTCCACTGTAAGAGCTTGAACGACTGCATCATTTTCCAGAGAGTTAAATACCTTTGGATAGTCCAAGAAACGTGTCTGCAGTGTGCACGTTGTCAATTATGCTCACCACAGGAGGCGCAATAAAATAAACCCATGGGCCGATGCTGGAAAGATTGTTGTGTCGAGGGACTGCGAGAGATAAGGCAACGACTTGGTGAGGGTGGCCCTCATTTGGAATTGACTACCAGGGCCGATCGACATAACAATGCCTACATAAAATGTCGGCAGCAATATTTTTTTTAAAGAACCAACTTCCTTGTGATTGTGGTTACAAAAAAATGACGAAATAAAAATGCGCTTTTAAATTAATAGCGCTGCCACTTGTTTCTCTCCGCACTAAACAGTAATAAGTCACCCAAATAAGACGCTACGTTTAAAAATCCCTTCCGTCAGCAACATTGGCAGGCACCCATTCACCAATATTCAAATCAGACAGCCGTGATGGCAGGTAAATAATTAACCATCTGCGCCTTCAGTCAGAAGTTATCTGCATACCCCACTGGGGGTGGAGTGGCTATAGGGTGGTTAGCATGCTGCACTAAGAACCAGGCGACACGAGTTCGGCTCCCGGCCACGGCTAACATCAGTGGCAAGCGATGCGAGAAACGGTGCGGTCTTCACCCACTCCCCCGCTGCCTTCACCAACACATCCTGACGACGGCTGTGTTGAAACCTCACGTCATTAACACGCATTCATTCTCTCTCGCTTTCAGGTTCTCTGAATTAGCGTACATTTATCTTCTTCCCCCTTGGCCTGTGATATTATTGCGGTGGTGTACAATGCCTGTAGAAATGAGCTTTATACTTGTAATTTACTGCCATTATGAACCGGCTTCATGTTCGTTTGTTGAAGAACTACACCGGGAATTGTTATGGAGGCACAGTGTTTTTTTGTGACCCTGCCATAGTGGCATGGGTAAGGCCACCATGCATTGGTGGACTGAGAATGGCTGGAAATTATATTATTGTTATTTTACACTCCACTAACCTGTCGGGTATGCTCATGGCAGGAACAAAACAATGACGCATTAGGAATACCTACAGAGCGTGTTATTCACCCAAATATCAACCAACTTCTGCAAAACGTTTGCCTCCGAAAGTACTCTGTTGAAATGAATACTGTACCTTTATCCAGCAATAGATTGATGAATATGATACAAGTATTACACGATTTTTGAGTACTGTATAAACTACCTGTTAATGCCACATTCGTTTATTGCATTTAATGCTTTGCGATTGAAATGTGACTTTGCTCTCTCATTTTCCGTGATAATAATATATCCTTGCTCAATTTACCATAATGAACACAGCTTTATTTTACGATATGTATTGGTGATAATTGTAATCCAAAAAAAGGACTTTGAGTGAAACAAAGCATATCTTAACACAAAGAGGAAAGCCATGCATTGTATACGAGCGAATGATTCGTTTTGAGTGTGTTGTTGTTGCTGCTGCTGCTGCTACCAATGTATGCTTATTCCAGGACCGTAGCACACAGGTAAGTGTTGTCTGTACTCAAGTATTCGGAGCAGCCTTTAAGCCCACCATTTTTGCTGGTAATGGCTCATCGAAATAAGAGCTATAAACAATGCAATTGGAAACAAAACACACCAAGACAAACAATACCGGAGCATTACAACGATCTTCCATCAGACCAAGGATAATGACTTAATATTCTTAAAATATGTAAAAAAATGATTTTTTTTATTTATTCAATCTGGCTGTTTTTAAATTCTTATATTATTATTACTACCTTTCTGACATTAATATCAGGGGTGAGTTACAACATCCAAACTTCATTCTTTCCAGGGTGTTACTGCACAGGCATTTATGATACGATTTGTTTTCAGTAATCAACCACTTTTAAAAGGTAAAGATACCATTGTAAGGTAAACATCACCCCAATGAGAGGCTGGCGAACGTTTTACAAACGTTCAGGGACAAATCCCTGGCCAGCTAAGCCCCCTGTTGTGACATTTATTTATGAAAGCACCGAGAGATGCACGCTTGGAATTACACAGAGAGACCGGGAAGACTGAGAAGACATTGGGACAAGCCATCAGAGAACATACACAAGTTAGCGACAAGTTAGCGACGTCGAAAAGTAATTGGGCTTGCGCAAGTAGCAAATAAGGTAACACTGTGTGGCCGGTGGTCGAGGCAAACGAGTGCGTGGAAGTGCAGGGAAGAACAGGCCGAAGATTAACCACAGAGATTGAGGGATGAGTTCAGCTCATGTGCAGAGGTGAATTGGATTACGGCATTGTAGGATGACGGATGGAAATAGCATGGGAGGGAGGGGGGCTTCATCTAGCGTTTATGATTATGAAGATACAATATAATACTGTAGTGTATATATTATGGGATGAAGGGCCATTGCCCAAAACGTCGCCGATTATATAGCTGTGTGAGTTTTTTTTATTTGCAATTGTGCACCAGTGCTAACGCAGTATTATCAAATAACTCGTTTAGTGTTAGACATGTTTGGATTTAGTCTCACTTCGTCATGAAACACCTGAACATTTCTGGAACATTGTGCAATGTGATTGTACTGTATTAAGAAACATGTGAAATAAGAAAAAAATGTGTCATTATGAGAAAAGTGAGCAACGATAAATGATCACCAGAGAGAAACGGTGAGCAAAGTCACATTCCAATCACAGAGAACGCAATAAACGTGACAGGAAATAGTAAATATTTGTAACTTCTTGTAACGCTTATATGATTATATTTTAAACAGATTTAAGCCCTTTATCAACCCACCGCTCAATAAAGGTCTCACCACACCGTATTAATTACTGAGGTTGTTTCACCATATTTCACCACTCTGGTCAATGTATTGGTGAAAGTAGGGAGTGGGGAAGTCAGAAGTAGAATGGCTTCAGATACCACTCACGTTAGCCGTGGCCGTAAATAAAACTGGGGTCACTAAGTTCACAGCGCACGACACTACCACTCCAAACACATACCTTCATTTATTAGATGCAGAACAGCAGTACAATTGCATTAACCCAATGCATGAAGATATTATGAGACAATACAACACATTTAACACGTAGGCTTTTGCGACCAATATTATTGATAATCAAGGTTTTATGGTGAACACATTTATATTTACGTTATCTTACCCAAAAAAAACACTTATTATCACTTTAACCCGTGTTGGAGACCGACGCGCGCAGCACAAACCAACCATTTAAACGTTAAACTGAAAAGCAAGGCCATGGAGTTTATTATGAGTGGCAGTAAAGGGGATCCATTCTCGGCATGCCAATTTGTCGCCATCGCGGCCACGTGGTTTTTTTTGTAATTGCACGTGACACAGCCAGGGTGCTTCACACGTGAGCCCCCAGAGGCATCGTCAATCAAGGCGGTTTTTGTTTTAGCAAGGGGGGGGAATTCCGGAACCCAAATGAAAGCGCCCGTGTTTAACAATCTTTGGTCAGGATGTGCATCAGCATTATCATCATCCATAAATGTGCCATAAAATAGAGAGGGAGACCATCGTACAGAGGGATGAAATGTAAAATACAAGTAACACAATTAATGTATTCAATAGGAGCGCAAGCAACATAACCATTGTTTGCAGGTGGGTATGGGGGCCTCTGGGAACGATGTGGTGCTGGGATCAATTTTCCAAGAACGATGTTTACCTTTGACCTGCATTGCGAAGCTAAGAGATTCTCTCTTACGTTGCCTAAGCAACAGCACAGCAAAAAAAAACCCTGCTTTCATTAAATTCCTTATTACTATACCTGCCCGAAAAGTGATCTGCGCAACTTAATACGATCCACCACACGATATAGATGTAGCTTGAATAAGTAATTGGTGGGAAAATGTAAGCTCAACTCTGTATACATCACATTTAAAGGTCCCGGTTGTTGATGGTTACGCTTTACAAAAAAAGTGTTTTTTCTTTTACACTATTTTTGTTCGAAAAAAAAGTAATTATTTTAAAAATCAAAGTTCTTTTTCTCGTTTTCGCCTGGTTCTCCCTATTCATGTAACGTGTAAAGAGCGATACAAACTCGTTGTTTGTATCGCACCCCATGTCACCAAGATTGTAACTAAACATCCCCACTGTGGAACATCTGCACCGTTGTAGGACACCCATGAAATAATGCCTAAGAGCTACTTGGGTCCTGCCGAAACAAAACAGGTCCCTGCAGGGTGGGGGCTGGTAGGAACATTGGAATTTTGCGCAATTTTATTTTTACACCCCGACAGCACGAGATTTCACTTCGTTAAAGTATTGAAAGGGGACGGACGGACGGACACATTAATCTATTGCAGGCTGGTACACTCAGTTTACAACTTCGTTCCTACCAGTATAAATCTTACCCATGTCACTTTGCCTGAGCGAGTCACTCTGTCTGGTTATACTTTTAACACGTATCTCGGTACCTTTTATCCATATCTAATATTTGTAAGGCTTTTCCGTTTTTGCACAAACATTTTTCTTTGAAAAAATAAAACAACGTTCGCATGTACGAGTTCACCCAGAACCGGCTGCTTTCTTGCGCTTAAGTGAAGTTCATCCCGTTCCGTGCATTACTCCACACTCTACCGGTCGGATAATAGGTATAGAATGCAGAGATAAACACAGATAATGCAACCTGTCATAGCATCTCCCATCACCCCAATCATCAACTCGGATACAATTATTATCCAAGTACATCGTGGTCGTCCAGAACATGCGAAGAGTGTACAAATACTTTACAGTATACAGGTAGTCCCCGACTTACGATGGAGATGCTGCTGCTATACACAGGTAGTCCCCGACTTACGATGGAGTTTGCGTTACGACGACCCCATCGTAAGTCGAAAAAATCGTAAGTCGAAGATGGCCCTAGCCGACCCCAGGAGTCTTAAAGAATGGTGATAATTTAGCAAAACAGAGCAATTTACAGTACCGTACTATATAAACGATATACTGTATGTATTTATTAATTACAATACTGTATTGCACAGTAAAATTTAAAGTAAAAAAAACAAGGTAAATTCTTAGCCGACCTATATGAACTGCAATTTCATAGAAAGTTTCTTCAGGAAACAATCCTATCTGCTATAAAAACTTGTAACATGCATTGAACGTATGTATCGTATCGTGGTAACCCTAAAATGAAATCGCTAAAGCTACGTATCATACATGCATTGAACGTATCGTAACGTATCATATTCTACTGCACTCACCAAGATTCTGTCCGTCGTCTGCATAACTTGAACGATGTTAGGTTGTTGATGGCTACATTAACTTAGTTGTCGGAAGAGGAGGATGGCGATGATAAAGTTACAGTAGAGTACCTCGTAGCACGCTGCTGCGTTTGCCTGCAGCGCGAAATAAAAAATATTTGACAATTTTGTCATATCGCTATCGTAAGATCGAAATATCGTAAGTCGGACCATCGTAAGTCGGGGACTACCTGTGTAAGTCGGACCATCGTAAGTCGGGGACTGCCTGTATGCCACTCGGGCTGGATTAAGGCGCGGGGGTTTTAGGGACTGCAGCCCAGGGGCCATCCGCCAGCTGAAGGGCCTCCAGAGATTAAGTGAAAAGTTAGTTCACTTGTGAATGCTGAATTTTATTTGTTGTTAGCCTTGTAAAAATAAATAAAAAAATCTCTAACTTTGTTTTCCTTTTGAAAATATTACTGGGGGCCTCACAGTACCTGTAGCCCAGGGGCCTACAAAATCTTAATCTGGCCCTGTATGCCACCATGACTTCAGATGCTCATCACCATCAGTCTGTTTTCGTCCAACAGAGGGGGGGCGGGGGGGGCTCGTTGTTTAAACCGTTTTAGGTAAATTTTCAGGCAATCCCAGCCCCCCCCCCCCCCCCCAAGATTTGACCCCGAAATGACACGTGTCGCAGATGCCGCATTAAGTCGAGCTGGGCTTTCGCGGCTCTGCTCCAGCCGACAGAGCCAAGCGGAGAGGCCCCCCACTGCCTTTAGGCCCCCCACTAACTTTAGGCGTTGTGAGGAGGACGAGGGGGGGTGGTCATCACCGTTGGCAAAAACAATGAGCACCGGTTGCCAACTCGCCCATACGTACACCCCCAGTGTGTCATGGTACAAATCACCCAGACACGCCGCTGGTAGGCAACAGGTGGCACGGTGAAGACAAAGTCTGGGGGGTGGGGGGGGGAGTTGGCAACAGGGTAGAGGTGTTATAAAACAGAGCCTTTGAAACATTTTAATATAAATACCCAGAGGCCATACAGTGTTTTTTTTCATCTTCTCAAAGCGGTCATGGAAATTCCGAACAAGCCAACTATTTTTCAGTTTTAATCCAGGTTTAAAAGAGCTGGCGTTTCGCCGAGAAAAATTGCTCAAGTTCCGTCAAGGACAGCCGGCATTGTAACCACGTCCTGTTAATAAGGCCTTTTATGGCAGCATAAAGCACGAGACGAACACCTCAGCGTAGGGAGATATTTTATGCAAATTCACACGTTCTGAACGCACACCTTTTGACTATGTTTCCCAAACGAACACTTGCCATAATAAGACGAAACCGTGCCAGAGTTCGAGGCAGGGCAACCGCACCACTGTACAGTATTTCCACGTCCAAATACTGCACGGTATAATGTAGACATGTTGTTAAGCCCGAGGCACCCCAAGGTTTTTTTCCTTGAATAAAAAAAACCCCATTATAATTAATGGTCTGCCTGTGTGAGTGTTATTTGCGAAACTCAAACACAGCGCGGAAGAGGTTGGGCCAGTGCACAAACACCTCGAAGCCCAACTACACAATGAGTGCACATCCCTAACGTCTATAAACGGAACCCATACAGCACAACCGTGGGAAAAAATAAAAAGAAAACTACGCAATTGTATTTTGTTTAAAGCTTTCGTGACTGCAGGGATTCATATTGTTGGTTCTCACCGAAAGAACCAAGGCTATGCAGTTGTACTTAAAATATTGGCAAGCAGGAATACAGCACCTAAATCTGTCAGCACCTTTGGTTATTGTTCAGCGATTCTGTGTGCCACGTGTCCTGGCACAAAGCCACCGCACGAAGCCACCTTTTCAAATAGAATTCGTATCCAAATACTTGATGGTGGCCAGACCCACCCAATACAGCACTGTATCTCAAGAATGGCAGGATATTGCCAATGCAGACGCCAGAATTAAATTATTGTATTTCAGAGTGCAACCTCCCGAACAGCACTTAGCCCTCCAATTTCCCGTCACTGGCAAGAACAGCGCCATGGAATCCTCAATCTGATCAAATTAATAACGATCCAAAGCAAAGTCAGTCGACAGTGGCTCAAACTACCGCACTGTACAGTACAGTATTTTAACCCTAATTGATACCAAGAGTGAATATGAATATGCCACATTGCAGCGTTCACTGTTTTTTGTTGTTCCATTAGTCGGAGGTCTTTCTCTCCTGAGTTCTCTGTATGTACCACACGTCTTTTTGCGGTACGCTGTCCGGCGTTTCGTTTCACGTGGCGGGAGATGCTTCAAGTCAATACGTAAATAAAAGTTGTCAGCATTCAGGGCGAACCGTCAGACATCGTGCCGAACAACAACAAGTGGACATCTACACGGCACAATCGCGAAAAACCCAAGTACTGCGCTCGTATGCCTATTTTTTTTGTTACACGAAATATGTAATCCCTATGTTAGCTTGCTCTGGAAATTAATAGATCTATTAGGGGACCCGAGGCCAAATTAAAAAAATCCGATCAGGTTTTTCTCGATTGTTTTATCATGACGGGTGTGAGCACTTACTTGAATATAAATCTACGCAAATCAGGAAGTCACTCCGAGCAACCTCCTCCCATGTCTGAGCCCCTTACCGCAAGCACCATGAGTCAGCACATTGTCATGCAGAGGCCAAGCTGACTTTATAAGTAAACAAATAGTACGGTATATACACCGTCATGTTTAATATGTTTTTTTTCTAAACGTGGAGGTGTAAGACCTAAGGACCTGGCGAAAAATCCACATGACCACAGGGAGAGAGAGAGAACATGCAATTTCGAAATATCCAGGCATTGTCATGGTTGGGATCAAACCCATGACCTCCTTCATATCAGGCGAGGGAAATTACATCTCGCCACTTCGCCACGCCATCATTACAGCACCATCTGCAGTCAATAAATGAGCGTATTGTAAGAAAAAATAAACTGTTTTGGTTTCCAGTTCCAATTGGTAACTGTTTAATTCACCGCACTCATAATTTACGTTCACATCTAACGAAACTCACCGATAAGAACACAAACACACTAACAGATCCACACAAACGAGCCATTCTCCAGATGACGTCAATTGCGAAAGGAACCCATGGGGAACGTACACATAAACCTACACCACGGAAATAGGAATTAGAGCAAATTTTAAATGATTACAGAGCTGCAGAGTTACATGGGGAGGGGGGGGCAAAGACGAACAGGCCAGTGGCTGTCGTGCACACAAAGCATTATCTGTCCAGGGACCTCAATTGGGAGCTTTAGATCCCTCACCACAACACGAAAACGAAACAGCATTTACATTTCTCCATCCAAAAACCTCTGCACAAAGTCTCACCACAGCGCTCTGCGCCACACAACTTGACGCAGCCGTTCTCGTACTGGCTTACGTTGTCCTTCTGCAACACGAAGCCACATTTTCCATTGCAGCCGAGTGTTTGGTTCGTGTGTCTTTATACGATTTATTTTCATTGCAAAACGGGCACGAAACAGTTTAACCTTGTGGAACTTCGCTCGGCAGTCTCGAATGAACACCGACGACGCATTGCCTTCGGTTATGCAAGGGCAGCTGGGATGTCGGGATGGAGGGGGGTACACATCTATGAATCGGAGCACTCTTCACGACTGTGGAATGGAAATTAGTGGAGGGATGAGTGCAGCAGTGATTTTCAAACGGTGAAATAAAGAAATACAAGTATTTAGTAATGAGGAAAATCATTGAAGGCAACAGAGGGCTTAAAGGATCTGGGGGCAAGTTGGCACGGTCTGTTAAAATAGTGCAGGAAAAATATTTTGTTTACACTGCGTATATGCTCATTTGGGATTAACTCGTTATTAAAATTATGGTTATTTAACCACTGAGTCTCATGATTCTTTATAAATGGAGTCTTGCCAAATTTTCACAGAATTTAGGGAGAGATGGGGGGGTGATTACGATTGATATTTGTATGCCATTGTAATAATTTGTAGGTCATTTTTTTTAGTTGGACCATGGCGCCGGCAAACAATGGCTT